AGTCCCATCTCATTCCTCCCCGTTTCAGCCTCTGCCTCCAAATGCCGTTCAGAGCCTGGCCAATCCACTTGTTAATTCAACCAAAGAATTGGCAATAAAACCCCCCCTCCTGGGACTCTGCGTGAGGAAGAAAAAGAAAAACTCAAGGAGAAAAACAATTTTTCAAGCAAAATCACTGTTGTCACTCATGGCTGGTTTGTTTTAAGAATTTGGAGGCACATTCCCAGTCGGAGCCAAGCCGGGGCCCGGCAGCCCGGCTCGCAGAGCGGTGATTAGTTAACAGGAGCCTGACAGTTTGTTTATCCTTGGCTTTGGAGTCACGCCTGACAGTGCTCAGGGCTCACGCCCAGCTCTGTGCTCACAACTCACTCCTGGCTCTTTGCCCAGGGCTCACTCCTGGCAGGGTTGCACCCTATGCAGTTCCGGGATCAAACCTGGGTTGGCCATGTGCAAGGCCACGTGCCTTACCTGCTGTTCTGTGACGCAAACGTATTCTTAATCTTCCCCTTATGATTTTCCCCACAGACTTTGTGAGTGGTTTTGGGTCATGACAAAACTGAGCAGAGGGTTCATGTTCCTGAACACCCCCCACACCAGCCTTCCCTCTTCGGGGCTATGCCAGGGAGCATACAAGACACATCACTAGCCCCGAGTCTGAAGCTGACCACGGGGTTCATTCTGGCACATTCCGTGGATTTTGGCAGGAGGTGATAGCTATGGACTGTGCCATGGGCCAATTCCCCAGCTGTTCCCAGCAGTCTCTGTCCTCCTGCACTGCACCCCTCCCCGACCCTGGCAGCCACCTGCGTATCTTTCTCCTGCCTCCCACTCTGCCCGTTTCTGGGGATGCTGTCCAAGTCTGTCTGCACCGGCATTTGAGTTGCATTGCTGGCAACATGCCTTCAAACGGCCTCTTCCTCAGGTTCTGTTCAGGGCCGAGTAATATTCCTATTGTCTTGATGTTCCAGAAGGACTGTGGATCTCTTCATCTACTAAACAACACCCTGGTTACTCTGGTTTGGGCAACACTGATTACAGCTGCTGGACTTCTGAGCAGTCTTTCAGGGGAACATCACAAACTCCTCCTCTGGGTAAACGCCAAGGAGCATTATTGCTGGACCACAAGGAAGGTGCTGCTTTTAGATTCATAAGAAGCAATGAAATTGCCTCCCATAGACGCTGTTACTCTTCCTCTCCCCCTACCCCCCACAGCTGGGAATGTTCCCTGGGCCTTCCCCGCCCCCACTGAGTGTTCCCAGGGCCACACCAGTGCAACAGTCCCCAAGTACGGGCTTCCACGAGCATCTCCTTTCACTGCGCAATTCCTAAATGATGTGAGAAGCTCTCTTTAAAATAAGAAAAACCCCCAACTTTTTCTTTCTTTTGCTTTTGTGCCACACTGGTAGTGCTCAGGACTTACCCATGACTTGGTGCTCAGATCACTCCTGGGGGGGCTCTGGGATCGAACCCGGATCAGTCACATGCAACCAGGTCCCTTGCCTGCTCTGCCGTTGTTGTGTCTGAAACATTACCTTTGCATGTGCTTCTCTGTATCTTCTTTTTTTTTTTTTTTTTGGTCACACCCAGCAATGCTCAGGGCTTACTCCTGGCTCTGCACTCAGGAATTACCCCTGGTGGTGCTTGGGGGACTGTATGGAACTGTATGGGGATTGAGCTCGAGTTGGCAGGTGCTAGGTAAACGCCCTCCCCGCTGTCCTGTTGCTCCGGCCCATGTATCTTCTTGGGTGCACTGGCAGCTCGTGGTCTTTACCTGACTCCCGATGGGGTTGTCTGTTTTCTCATCAAACTTTCAGAGTTCTTGATACTTTGGGTAACAGTCCTTATATTATTACTACTATTAGCACTTTCGCAAACATTCTCTTCTGTGACTTTCCTTCTCCTCTCCTTGGTGCTTTGCCCCTGTCAGGGTCCGTGATCCCAGGAACAAGACAGAGTCAAGAATGCGAGCAAAGAAGTTCTTTATTTGCACCAAGCACACATACTGGTCGACCAGAATCCCCTGCAGACGGTGTAGGGGTCCCCTCTTATCCCCTTACTCGAGTTCAGACCTTTCTGCCTTGGGTTGGCTCCCTCCCAGGACCCCAGGGGTGATTTTGTTTTTCTGATTAGCTTATCCCTTCCTTGCAGCCCTTACTCTAAAGTCAGGTCACTCTACCTGACTCCCTTTCCCGCTTTGTGGGTGCTCTGCCTTTTATAGTCTTGGACTGTTGCTTATTCTTCTGCTTTTACATGCCTCCCCAGAACTTATACCAGTGATTGTCTCGGCGAGGTTAAAGACAAGACCGGATATCCCATTCCATATGCCTGTTTAATGTACAGCCGTTACCAGCATGGAGTGTTTAATGGATTCCACCTTACGCCTTCTTTCAGGGGGTCGTGCCTTTTGGTGTTGGAGCCAAACCCAAATCATCACATGGGCCAAGGATCTAGAATTTCTTCTCAATTACCTTCCTCCTGGGGGCACTCTGCAGTGGTTGGGGCCAGCAAGGCCACACCTGGCCAGGCCCAGAGGACCTTGTGGTGCAGGATCTCAACAGGATCTAGCCAGGGATCTAACTGGATCGAACTCTGGTCTAACACACACTCCAGCCCGGGGGCTCTCCCTGGTCCTCCCTGGCCTTTGCAGTTTTGCTATTTTCTTGCTTTATGTCTCTTTTGAATGTGGGGGAAAAGTGTATCTAGGTTTTTCTTTTCTTGCCTGCTGATCTTGGAGCGAGTTGGGTGGTGGTGGGACATTAATCCGTCTTAAAGGCCTGTTGCCCTTCCCTCCCTGCAAAGCCGCTGGAAATCGTTCTGAAACCATTTCACACAGACAGGAAGGCTTTTTAGCGTCTCGGTCGGGGGCAGGAACTTGTCTTATCGCTTAGAAACAGTGCTGTCCTTCATCTGATTGTCTCTCCTTCCCAGGCAGGGCGAGTAGCCAGGGAAGCCAGTCCCAGGTGAATAATGAGGGGGGGGAAGGAGCCCAGAAATGGATTCTTAATTGTGCCTGGGAGCCACACGCGGGACCGTATGCCCAGGAAGGTGGCAGTGGCGTGTGACTCAGTGACTCCTTCTTGCTGCTTCTCCCTGACTCATCTCAGCCATCTCCCCCAGGCAGGGAGGACGGGGGTGACTCACGCAGCTCAGCTGCTGAGTGGACGCACGATGGTGCGGCAGGGCCCGTCCTCTAAGGCTGGGCTGTCAAGGTGTGCGGGCAGGGTCATCTCCAGCCCCCCCTGGGCCTTGTCCCTTGTCCGGCTCTTTCCCAGGGGGAGAGCCCCCCCCCCCCAATTAGTAGCAGCCTTGTTTACCTATTTTGGTTTGGGGGCCACGTCCAGTAGCACCTGGACACCCTGTGGACGTGGACATCAAGCCCAGGCCTAGCTTGCTCAGCAGCTGTGCCCCTTGGGAGGCGCTCAGGGATCAGAGGTCAGGGGTCGCTTCTGGCCAGCCCGGCCAGCAACTCTGGGCCCACTGGGGCTCGGAGAACTATGCAGCGCTGGGAATGGAACGGAGGCCGGGCTCTGGGTGTGCTCCACAACCCTGGCCGCTTTCTCCAGAGGGATGCCAGGGCACCCTGGCACTCCAGCTCAGATATACAGGAACAGGGGGCCGGTGGGGGTGGGACCCCAGTGTGGGCGCCAGCTCTCAGGAGGGGCGTGCAGGGCTTCCCTGGGGCCACCAGAATAAGTGTTTCTGCCACTCCAGCTGGGCCCGGGGAGGGGGCTGGGGGAGGCGCCCCCATCACACCCTGCCTTAAACATGGCCCCTCCTGGCCTGTCCACAGCAAGAGCTGGCAGTGCTCAGAGCTGCTCCCAAAGCAGAGGGACCCCCCCCCCCCCCATCCCCCAGCCATCCAGGGTCCTAGTGACCTCAGATGCGGGCGGCTTCCTGTGTTTGTCTGGTGTTCTCAGTGCCAGGCCAGGCCAAAGGCAGTGGCAGCAGCTGGGCCCTACGGGGTGACCTCTGGGCAGTGGACCAGGGTCCGTGCTCTGCTCCACACGCCTGGCGTGGGAACAAGTGTAGGGCCTGAAAGGCCAGGCGAGTCGGCTCTGCTGGTCCTCTGGGAATGTTTCGGTAATCAGGACAGCTGCAACCACAGCCCCGGGGCCCAGGGCGCTTAATGACTTTAATGGCTTCATTTTTCTTCAGAAAAGCGGGACTGGGATGTAGATAGGCCCTGACCCACACAGAGGCCACAGCGGGCAGGGCCATTTGCTTGATGCTGATGGAACAGCAGCGGGGGGCACCCCCTGGGGGGTGGGGGCAGAGCAAGGCGCGGCACGGTGGGGGGCTGGGCTCCCCAGCAAATGTCAGAGAACTCACTGGGAGGAAAACCCTTGGTGAGGTGAAGGCTTTATTCAAACCTCTGCGCCCTCAATGGCATTTAATGAAGCTTCTGGGATCAATTCCCTCTCACCCAGCTCTGGGAAGGCCAGGAGGGGGATCCAGGTCACCCACAAGGCACCTCGGAAACAACGCCCCCCCCACCCCACCTCCTGAGCTCTCCCATCCTCTGCTCTCTACACGAGCTGAATTTCTCGCTCTGCTGAGACCAACTGAAAACCACCTTAGAGAGGCCACAGGCCGGGGCAGCGTCTGCAGAAGCAAGTCCTGACTTGGGGTGCACCCCCACCCCGACACTCTACAGTGGCTGAAGCAGAGCCCAGAGTGTGGAAACGTCCAGGCGGTGGTCAGGCCTGATGCGAAGCCCCGACCCCTCGATGCCTCTCCAAGACACCGTTAACTCCCCACCTCGCCATGGAATGGAACGGTTGGGGCCCACAACGCTGGTTTCCCCCGGAGGCTGGAGAGCTTGTGGGGTGAGGGGCCGGCCGGAGGGTTCGGGCCAGCTTGCCCCCACCCGCCCTGCTCCAGGCTTCCTCAGCGGAAACCGTGCTGAAGCTAGTTCTGTCAACCGCGGTGTGCGCCCCAGCCAACCCCTTGTCCAGGAGGCCAGTGCAGGCTGCAGGGGATTGAGACGGGCGCAGGTGGCCCCCAGACACCTGCCAGGCCCACCAGAGGTTTCCAGGACGAGGAGCAGCTCAGGGCCGGGGTGCCGGGAGGTATGGGGCTCACTCAGGACCCGGCATGGGTGGCCCCGGGGCCGTCACTTGAGGGTCTTCACCATGTAGGGGCCCTGCAGCCGGTAGCCCAGTTTCCTGTAGTAGTTCCTGGTGCCGACCCCTAGAAGGCGCAGAACACAAGAGACTCGGTGAGTGTGGCTCAGGGAACCTCCAAAGCCACCCACGCCCGCCCCTGCTCCGTCTAGTCCCGGAGCCCAGCCTTGGCAGGGGAGAGCCACGGTCCAGGCTGGGGACATTTCACTGCTCTGCATTTGAGCCACATGAAAGCACAGGGGCGGCTGCAGGGCCGGGGGACAGACTGGCCCCATGGATGGCGACACCACAAGGGGCGGCTGCAGGGCCGAGTGCCTGTCTCACTCCCCAGCCGGCCTGGTCCCCAGGCGTCATGGACCAGGGAGGGGGATGTGGCTGGCGTCCTTTCCATCCACGGGGAAACAGCGTCCCAGAGTTCCTGCCTCCTCGGTGTCACTTTAGCTGGAGCTGGCGACAGACATCAATGAAACGGATGAGCAGGAAGAGCAGCAAGACCATAGGCCAGTTTCCTGCTTTGATATTTTGTGGGGTTTTGGCTGTTTTTCTGGTGGTGGTGGGGAATATACCAGACAGTGTTCAGGGATTACTCCTGGTGGGGCCCAGGGGACCACTTGGGTTGTCGGAGATCGGGCTCGGGTGGGCCATGTGCCAGGCAAGAGCCCCATCTGTTGTCCTAGCGCTCTGGCTGCGTTGATGGGTTTTGCTGGGGGGGCGACTCCCAGCTTCCTGCTTGGGGATCACTCCTGGCTATGTGCTAAGGACCAGGTGGTGCCCGGGATGAACTCAGGCATCCTGAGAGCACAGTCTGTGCTCGGAGCAGGCTTGCGGGCACCGAAGACACATTGATTTCAGTCTCTAGTAAAGATCCACACGGGGCCAGCCGACAGTACTGCGGGTGACGGCGGGGAACGGGGGTCCTCTCTGGGAATATAGTACAGCATCAGCACCTGGCTCACGCTGAGCTTTCTTGGAGCAGGTACTCAGGGGTAGAAGCTGCTGGTTCCCATGGCCACGTGCTCTGTGTATGAGGAGGCATTGGGGTGCTGCATCCCATAGCAGCTGCCCCCCCCCCCTTGCACGGGGTCCTCCTCACACCTTCCCCAACACTTGTAATTTCCTGGGAACTGTCACCCACCAAGTGTGAGCACCCTCACTGGCTCTTGACTTGCATTTCCTGATGGTTGGGGGCGCCGAGTGCCTCGGTGTGAACCTTTGTCTTCCTGGGAAACCGCTCAGATTCTCTGCCCATTTGGGCAGGTGGTCATGGGTATGTGTGTGTGTGTGGGGGGGGGGGGGCTCTAATGGTGCCCAGGGGCCACCTCTGGAGATATAGCCCCGGTGCTGTTGAGAGAAGCTGGATCCAAGCCAGCACCCGTTCTGCTGCCCGCTTTGGCCCCTTCCTAATGGGAGTCCCGCCTTCCATCAGCATAACAGGCACGAATCACTTCCCATCTGAAAGGTGACCTTTCCGTGCTGTGACTGGTTTTCTTGGCTACACAGAAGCTTTTAAGTCCCACTGTTTTTCATTGCCTTTGCCTTTGGGCATACATTTTTTTTTAAATCGCTGTTAAGGAATTTTATGGTTTCAAGCCTTTAGTCAATTAATATTCGTGAAGTAAAAGTAACAGCCACTTTCACGCTTTGCCGTGCAACTGATGAGCGACTCTAGCGCCCAACAGGACAGAGTTCCCACGGCCCGCTCTGGGCTTGAGGCGAATCAGTGTGTTTGCTTCTGGTCCCTGTGCGGTTTGTAGGCCAGTCACGCTGATTCTGTTCCGACAGCTTTGAGGACCAAGAAAGGGAGTGGCCCTCCCAGCTCCCGTCCTCTCCAGGATAACATAGAATTGGTGCCGAGGGTGGTCCTGGTGCACTCAGCCTTGTCCCCAGATCCCTGTGTGGCAGCTCTGCACATGCCGGGCCTTCATGGGGCCCGGCAGTTTCCTGTGAATGGCCTGTCTTTCCTTCCGGCTCCATCTACCCGAGATTTTATTCTTTATGATGTGATCTTGAATCAGATGATCTTTCTTTCTTTAGTCATTTTTGGAGTCATTTAATATCCTGCAACTTTATTGAATTTAACAGTTTTCCTTAAGTCTTCTGCAGATTGCAACAACTTCTTTTCTGAGTTAAAAACATTTCCTTTCTTTTCCTCCCCCCCTTCCGTGTCCCCCTCTTTTGTGGGGGGTCCTGCACTCAGGGATCACTTCTGGCAGGCTTGGGATGCTTGAACCCAAGCTTGCTGCTCTGCACTCCCCCATCTTTCTATTTCCTGATTAGTTGTTCCAGCAAGAACCCTCGAGACTATGCTAATGAAAGTGGCAGGAGTGGAAGCCAGCCCTCGTGTTCCTGGTAACGAGGAAACGCTTCCAGCTTCTCACCATTCTGACCGCAGCTGTGGTCCCACAGAGCCGGCCTTTTAATCATGAGTGAATGCTGCCTTGTGGCAAACGCTCCTTCAGGATGATCTGATGACTGTGCTGATGGCGGACCAGACGCTGAAGCTCCCCGTGTCCCTGGAGAGGCAGTTCTGCCCCTTTTCGGTCTCTTGCTCCTAATGTATCTGATTCTCTTCACTGTTACTCCGATAAGGATTTTGGCCTGCAGATGCTGCTTCCTGACGGCATTCCTGTCTGGGTTGGATGCTGGGGAAGGCTGGCCTCAGACAATGAGTCTGTTGAGTGTTCCTTCCTCTTCTATTTTGGGGAAAACTTTAGAATCAATAGTAATACTTCTTTTCAAAATACGGTAGCACTGTCCTCCCCTTGTTCATCGATTTGCTGGAGCGGGCCCAGTAACGTCTCCATTGTGAGACTTGTTGTTACTGTTTTTGGCATATTGAATACGCCACGGGGAGCTTGCCAGGCTCTGCTGTGCAGGCGGGATACTTAACATACATCTGGTAAAATTCACCTGCGAGATTATTTGGTCCTACACTTGTCTGTTAGGAGTTTTTTTTTTTTTGGTTTTTGGTTCTGATTTAACCTCCTTACCAGTAACTGGTAGTGTCCAGATCTTTTGTTGGTTTAGCTTTTATCTGTCTAGGAATTTATCTACTTTTTTTGATTATCCAACATATTGATGTATAATCACTGAAAACAGTCTACTAACCCTTTTGTGTTTCTGTGGTATAAGCTGTGACAGTCCTTTGTTTCTGATTTGCGTCTCTATTTTACTTATTTCCACCCTCTCTTTGTTTCTCCTATTAGCTTTGGGCTCTGTTCTGCCCTTTTACTAGATCCTTAAGCTATAAAGTTGTTTGGAGATTTTCTCGTTTTTGAGGTGGGCACCTACTTTAAACTTCCTGCTCTGCTTCCATTCCCGGCCCCAAGTTTCGGTGTGTTGTATTTGTTTCATTCGTCCTATCTCTTAAACTTCCCTTCTGGCCCACTGGTTATTTGGTAGCCCCCTGTAGAATCACTGGGCTGTGGTAAAGCTTCCGGTTTTCCTGTTTCATACCACACCGGTAGGAAAAGGTACCTCACACGATTTTGAACTGAGTTTATTAAGATGCGTTGTTGTGGCAAAATACAGGATCTATTGCCAGATTGTTGCCTGTGCACTTGAAAAAGAATGTTTATTCTGCTGCTTTTGAACGGGATTTGGGGAGTATTTGGTTCTAGTTGTTCCACTCTATCTTTTTAACTGTAAGCATTTCCATTGCATAAGCAACTGGCCGCAAGGCAACTCTGTGGTGAAAGATTGAATGACTGGCTGACAGTCGATGAATCTGGCTGCAAGTGACCACAGCGCTCCCGTTTTCACACTGCCCAGATCTCAGCTCTTGGGTCTCTACAGGGCCAACCAGCAGTGGCTGATGACAATGGTGAACACTAAGGACACTGAAAGGGCGGGGGCGGGGGGAGGAGGGAGTAGCGGACAAGAAACGAAGGCTGATGGGCAATTCTGTCCCCAGTGAAAACATCCTTAAAGAAGGAGCAATAGTCCAGCAGGTAATGCACTTGCCTGGCACATAGCAAACCTGAGTTTCACTCTCTGGGACCCCAGATGTCCCCCACGCATAGCCAGGAGCGAGCATCTCCAGGTGGGTGGCCCAAACTCCAAAACAGAAGGAAGCAAAAGTAAGGGCGTTTCATACTATCAAAGCAGAAGTGACTTGTTATCTGCAGGTTATCACTAAAATTCTGGCACAAAGAAAAGTGTATAAACTACCTGAATATTTATGAATGGAGAATCCTGCTAGTCGTTAAAAATAAAGAACTCACCCACATCCCGCCAGGCCAAAAAAGCCCCTCAAAGGACTGAGGCGCACACCCTTGGTGACTGTGCCCGTGTATAGCGACTATGAACCATCTGCAACAGTGACAATGTCGGGAGGATTTTACCACACACGCCAACTCCGGCAAAGAGGCCAGTTAAGCAGCCCGTGAACATGAACAAGTGCTCAGCAGTGCTGTTATCAGGGACACATGAAAGCCACCAAAGTATCTGTCCATGCTCTTCACACTCCAATGACAGCCTCGGCCATCCGCCCACCCTGCCTGCAAGCAGAAGTGCGCTTGCTGGCACTTTAAAAAACCACTTTACAGAATTACAGCTGAACACACGTTTATGCTCTGTAGAACGCAAGCAAGCGCCTCCACCCCCAGTACAGGCTTCAGAGAGACACAGGCCAAAGGGCCTCACGATACAACGACCAATAATGCTCTCACACAAGAAACCACTTAAACAGCAGGAGTAAAATGAACAGAAGACACCTGCGGAATCCCGGACGCGGGTGAAAAGGAGCATGACCGCCTACAACATAACTCAGTCACCTGACTCGAGAGAAAAAATACAATGGAAATGATCCCGCTCACAGATGGAGACAACCGCACTGACCTGGCTGGGCTGGGTGGGGCTCACGGCAGCGGTGACACAATTCACCACTTACCAGTTCTCAGACTTCCTACTGGCTACACTCTAAAGAATAAAGTTTAAGTCATTCTAACTACGTGAATGTTGTTCACAGGGGAAATCAAGTCTCCATGTGTGAGGAAAGTCGAGTTCAGAGATCGCAGCTGGACAAAGAGTTCAGGTGCAGTGACAGACACAGTGTCAGGCACAGTTAAGAGTCACAGGCACAGAGACAGGCACAATCATAGGCACAGTCACAGACACAAGTGACAGTCACGGGCACAGCCACAGTGACAGATACAATGAAAGGCACAGTCACAGTCACAGAGACAGGCACAAGCATAGGCAATCACAGGCACAGGTACACAGGCAAAGGCAAAGGCATAGGCACAGATACAGTGATAGGCATAGAGACAGGCACAATCATAGGCACAGTCACAGCCATAGTCACAGACACAAGTGACAGTCACGGGCACAGCCACAGTGACAGATACAATGAAAGGCACAGTCACAGTCACAGAGACAGGCACAATCATAGGCAATCACAGGCACAGGTACACAGGCAAAGGCATAGGCACAGATACAGTGACAGGCATAGAGACAGGTACAATCATAGGCACAGCCACAGGCATAGGCACAGCCATAGACAGACATAAGTGACAGTCACAGCCATAGTCACAGGCACAAGTGACAGTCACAGGCACAGCCACGGTGACACGCACAGTCATAGTCACAGATAGGCACAGCCATAATCACAGTGACAAGCACAGTCAGAGGCACAGTCACAGACATAGTCACAGGCACAGTGACACGCACATATTCATAAACACAGTCACAAGCACAGTGAAAGGCACAGTTATAGTCACAATGACAGCCAGAGTCACACAGTGACAGGCACAGCCATGGTCAGAGTAACAAACACAGCCAGTCACACAGTGACAGGCAGAGTCAGTAACAGTGGCACCAGAGTCACACAGCAGTGACAAGCAGAGCCACAGTGATAGGCACAACCATAGTCATAGACATAGTGACAGGCATAGTCACAGTGACAGGTACAGTCCCAGTGGCAAAGGGCATGCGTGCTTGGCCAAGTGTGTCCTGCGGCGTCCGCAGAGCCTGGGCGAGGACATTCACGCCAAGGACAGTGCTGGCCCAGCCCTGCAGCCTGTTCACGTCTCGAGCAGGAATCACGTCAGGGACCTGGAGGTTCCAGTCCGCTGCGCTCACAGGGCTGGATTCATCACAGCCCGAAAGCCAAACCCGAATGTCTGATCTTTTTTCTGATTAGATGCATAATATAGATGATTATTCATGATCATTTAATTAAAAAAGCAGGGAAATGAGTGAAAATGACGCCGTTTAAATTACTTGTGGGGGATCAATTAATCAGGCATTGAGAGCAGCACATAGCGCCAGGCATTAATAAACGCCAACGGATTTGCTAATTTTGTTCATCCGCTCCTGAAAAGAAGCCTGATTCCACCTCAGTGAGCACCAGGACGGCGAGCCTCTGGCTGCAGCGGGCCAGGGGCTTGCACCGAGGGCTCAGAAAGGGCCATGCAGCTCGTGTGTCCTGGGTGGACACAAGGGAGCTCATCACCCATCCCTGCGCCAGGCTGCCCTGACAAGGCACCGAGGCAGTTGGAGCAGACAGGGAGCTGGGCCCCCTGTCCCTGCTGCAGGGGCCAGCCTGAGGCCATGACAAAACACAGTAGCCACCAGGAGCTCTGGGGGGAGCTGGCAGGAAAGGGTGCCAGGGAAGGCCCCACCACCTCGCTCGCAGTGGCCAGTGAGGTTGGGTCCACGCCAGGATTGGCCGCCACCAGCCCAGGGAGCATCAGTCAAATCTCAGCGTTTGGGTGACTCACGACCACGCAGACGTGGCAAGAGTCCCCGCGGTAAAGCCGCAGAACAGCCGGTCAGGACTAGCACTGAGAAAGAAACCCATCAATCCTTGTCAGAACCCAAATGGGGGGCCGGAGGCATGTACATCTGCAGGCGGGCGCCGGGCAGCTGCTGGGGCTCACTGGCTCCAAGGGCAGTCGGGGAGGTCCTCCCTCCATGGTGGGCACAAGCGCCCCCAGTCCCTCTGCAGAGCGAGAAGCCGAGTCGAGGTCCCACTTCCCTGGGCAGCCTGGGGGACCCCGGGTCCCGGGGGGACAGATCTCGATCCTAGATCCCCCTGCTGCTGCCTAGACCATGCTGTGGAGAATACAAGCCCCCCGCCTGCAATGGAGGAGACTGCTGGGTGTGGGGGCGTCCAGCCGGGGGCGCCCCATGCTGCCTCGTCCCCTCGCCCAGTCACCGGGCTGAGGGCAGCCACATCCGTTCCCCGTTGCTCACACATTCCCCTCATCTCTCCTCCGCCTCGTGTGGGTCTGGCCTTGCGTTGGTTCTTGGCCAACGGCCAGATTAATTTTCCACTCCAGTGCGCACAGATAGAAGATGCTGATGACGGAGGCAGCGGCTGCGGGGGAGGGGGGTCGGCCGCGCATAGCAATTAGCCTGGCACGCGGCCCCTGTGACGGCGGCGCCCATCGAGCTGCCAACAGCGCGAGAGGGGGCAGGCGTGCGCGCGTGGCGGTGGCGGCCATCGACAGCTCCGTGTGCCCTTTGGAAACTGCCGGGCAGGGGGACACGGGGACCTCTGGTTTCCATGGTGACCGTTGGTGATGGCATTCGGAATTGTGCGCTCGGGAGCCGAAGGGTGATGGCGTGAGCGTCCTCCCGCAGAGGGGAGACAGAAAGTGCTTTCGGGGAGCCTTGTCAATGGCAGAATGCTAATTATCTAGGTGGGTGAGCATCAGGGACGCCAAGTAAACCGTGTTTGTTAACCTCAAACAGATCTGCGCTGAGAAGCCACAGGAGCAAGTTGGTGACAATACCAAAGCCCCTGGACTTAATAAGGACTAATTAATCACTCGGAAATTCAGCAGCAAGCAACTGTTATTTCCCCGCCTACATGTTGTTTTGTAAACAGTTTGTTCTAATACCACTGATTTACATGGAGAGAAAGAACGCTTTTCTCTTTGTGGAAAAAGAATGTTTTCTTACTCTGACACGTTAATTCTGAGTCGAGCCTAGCCTGGATGCAAGCAGGAAGCAAACCAGTTTCTCCTGGGGCCTCTCGAGTGTGTGTGTGGGGGGGCACCCTGGGATGGGACAGCCAGCCTGGAACAACCTCCTGTGACCGCCCCCACCCCATGCAGAGGAGACTCAGGCCCTGTTCACGACTCCCAGCCCCGTACCCCAGGACTGGGGAGGGAGCCCAGCGTTGGTCTCAGCTTCGCATCTTGAATTTCGATGGCTAGAGTGTAGGGCTGACTCTGACACACAAACTGGACTAAGACAACCGCCCGGACTTCAAAAACCCACACAGAGGAACCAGGCCCAGTGGCACCTGTCCAGCAAGGTGCTCTCCGCTCCTCTCAGACAGGAGGGGCACCTGCTAGGCCGCTCCAGCTCAGAGTGACGCCTGATCAGCAGATCGGACTCAACAGTTAAGAGAGAAGCAGCTTGTGCTCCCGCGGGGAAGAACCAAGCCTGGGGCTGGGGAGACTCAGTTGGAGCCCCCCGGGCACGTGCTTACATGATCTGGGAGCGGAACCAAAGTCCCAGGCAAGATGCCAGGGCTTGTCGTGCCACCGAGAAACACTCAAAGCAGCTCCTCATAAGCTCCCACCATCATGGCACCTGAGGGATGGGGACCTGAGTAACCCGCTGGTCTCGAGCGCCCATTGCAGCCGGCGTGATGACCAACTTACATAGAAGCGTCTGGCTTGGAGCCAGGGCAGGCCGAGAGCAGGGCAAGGTTGGGAAGGAGGGGATGAGGCAGGGGCAGGGGCAGACTCACATGCCACGGCTGGGAAAAGCTTCCCCCTCCCTTTCCCAAGGGGAACACCAAAGCCAGGCTGGACAGCTCCGCGGCTGGGTGTGGCTGTGCCCAGTTTCCACGCCCTACCGGAACACCAGGAGTGACCTGAGCACAGAGCCAGGTGGAGCTCCCAGTCCAACTCAGTGAACACCCGTCCACAGCAGGACTCTAAGGAGGGCCGGTCCATGCCCAGAGGACCCCTCAGCCGTGTAAGAACCCCCACACGGGGGACAGCTCAGCGGCTTTGCATGTGCAGGAGGCCCAGATCTGGTCCCAGAACTGGCACCATCAGGTCACCAGCACTGTTGGGAGGAACCCCGGCACTGCCCACGACATGCACCTCTAAAAGTGACCTGAAAGAAGCTGCTGCTTGGGGGGTGAGCAGCAGGAAAGCGACTCCACAGGGCGACTCAGAGCAAGGGCCTAGGAGTGGACAATGGTGATCACATTCCCAGACAGCACACAGGCACACACGGGCACCCAGGGCAGGGGTGTGGGTCCTGGAAGGCCCGAGGCTCCGGAACTAGGGGGAGGTGGGGCGTCTGGAAGATGCAGCTATCAGGACTCCTCTCCCTGCCCAGGGCCACGGCGCTACCTCCCCCCACCCCCACCCCCCGCCCCAACCTCAGGGTCAGAAGCTCCAGCCCAGCACAGTGACATGCTGGGAAAGCCACTCTGGGGAAGGTCAGATGGTCCCTGCAGAGGGACAGGATTTCCAGCCCTGCCAGGCCCCTCCAGCCGCCACCAGCATGGCCCTGGGCAGCCCCTGCCTCAGTGGGCCCACAGAGCAGCACATGCAGAGCAGGGGTGAGGAGATGCCAGCAACCAGGTTGAGGAGTGCGCCCAGGCGGGCGGGTGGCTGCGGCAAGGGTCAGATGGATCAACTGGCCGCAGCCTACCGACCTTTCCCACTGCCTGCCTGTCTGCCCCATCACCCATCTGTCTGTCCATGGCCTGCCCATCTGTCCCACTGTCCATCTGTCCCTCTGTTCTGGCCACATCTCCGAGATCCCATGATGGCCAGCACACAAGGGAGGGCTTGGGCCAGTCCCACTTCCCCACCTAAGGTCGGAGCCTGGGTAGTGGCTGTGTAGCCGCGTGGGTGGCCCTGTGCACGGGGTCAGAGTCTCCTGCCCACTGCCGGGCTGTGGTCAGACAGCTCCGCCCGCAGCACCAGCTCTCGTAGAGAATAGCCCTTTGGGTGTGACCCCTTACCTGAGATCACGGCCATCTTCCCCGAGCCGTGCTCCTCCCGGGCGATGCGCTCGGCCTCCTCCATCAGCAGCATGCCGAAGCCCTGCAGGGGGAAGGGGCAGCCAAGGGCTCCAGACGGGCAGCCGGGACAGCCCCCCAGGCCACTGGGGACCGTGACCGCCCCAGTCCAGCCCGGCATCCCCTGCAGCCCGGATGGCCCCTGATGGCCTCAGCACTGCAGAGCTGGGACCGGGACAGACCCTCGGGCCCAGGGCAGGGGTCCAAGGATTGCCAGGAGGCCCCTATTTAAAACGGCAACTTCGTGGGGCTCAGCTGGACTCCACCATCTGAATCCCAGTGTCTCTCTTCCTCCCCGGCTCACCCACAGAGGGCGTGATCTGGAGAAACTTCCATCTCCCAACAGAGGCCTCTCCCCTCTCCTCTCCCAGGCCTTGGTCACCCCGCAGCTTCCCCCCGAGTCTCTCCCGCACTGGACCATCCTTCAGCTCCGCCACACGGGTGCATAGACCCCCCACGCCGGCCCCCGGCCCCGCCTGCTTCCCAAGCTCCCAGCTGCAGCAGCAGCGAACGAGCGGGTACCTGGTGCTGGAACTTGGTGGGGTCACGGCTGCTGACAGGCACCACGCTGCCGTACACATGCAGCTCGCGGACGATGGACACGCCGCCCACCAGCTCATAGCGGAAGGTCTCCTCAGAGCAGCGCCGCAGCCGCAGCAGCCCGATGAGGATGTCCTGCTCGGGGTCCTCGTAGGACAGGAAGGTCTCCCAGCCGCCGCTCGCCACGTAGTCCCGCCGTACCAGCTCCACCTGCCACGGGATGGGTCAGTCCTGGTCCCCCCCTTGCCCACGAGGCTGGGTCAGTCCCGGCCCCTCCCGTGCCCATGAGGCTAGGTCAGTCCTGGCCCCTCCCATGCCCATGAGGCTGGGCCAGTCCCGGCCCCTCCCGTGCCCACGAAGCCAGGTCTGTCCCGCCAACCCTCCTTCTGTGTTGCGCCTGGCAATGCTCAGGGCTGTCTCCTGACTCTGTGCTCAGGGATCACTCCTGGCTGGCACAGGGGACCCTAATGGGGTGCCAGGGATCAAACCCGGGTCAGCTGTATGCAAGGCGAGTGCCCTCCCCACTGCACTATCACTCGGGCCCAGAAATTCATTCTATGAGTGTATCACGCATTATGATTTCTGTTTAGTCACGTATGGGGTAGGAACTCCGCCCCCTTTGTGGATCAGGGAAAGGAAAAACAAGTTTATAATTTCGTTGACAGTTACTAGGATTAAGCTGCGTGATCTCCAGAATCTGGCCTGGGCCTGGCTTCTGTTGCACATACTGGAAACAGTTTACAAATCACACCAAGGCATAGCTCTCCGCGGGGGTGGGGGGGTGGGGGTGGGGCACCACTGCGCCTCCAAACTGCCCAGCATGCCCCCTGTGGCCCTCACCTCAAACACTGGAGCCTGCTTTGGGGGAGAAAATGTGTGATTGGTCCCCCGCGCCCCTGTGGCTCTGAGAGAGGGCAGCACTCCCGGGCCCTCGGGACACTGCATCTCGCAGAGTGAGTTAAGAGACAAATCCATCACTGCAGAGGGCTTGGGAGGTGGAGGTGGGGAGACACCTGTGGCAGGCTCCAGGCTTCTGGTGTTGATTCCTGACGCAGGTGCCCATGGACCCCGCAGAGACATGACAGACTGTAGCAACATACAGCCCAGAACCTGCCCCCTGGCCTGGCTGGAAGGGGAAGGCCTGTCCCCCCAGGGGAGCAGCTGAACCAGCACCTTTGTCCTCGGTGGGATGCTCGCTGCATCCCTGGTGTGGCATGCTCACCGGACAAACCAATGACCTGTGTGTGGTCTCTTGGCTTTTCTCAAAAGGCCCCATACATAAAAACTTTCAAACCCTTGGCTTGGAGAACAGAAACGCCAATGCAGATACCAGGGGGTGCCACGGAGAAGCAAACCCCACCAGGAACGGACCCGGGGTCAGACTGTCCACACAGAGAAAGGCCAGCACACAGATGTGGCCAGGCCCGGCTAGCTCTGAGTGGGGGCACCTCGTGGGGCACATTCAGGTGGACTAGGTGGATAGTCCTTGGCCTCAGCGAGGTCACACTGAGGGGCTCGGCAGTTGACGGCCGTCAGCACATTGGACAGTGAAGGTTCCGGAACTTGACCAACCCCAGGCTAGGTTTCCCTGGACCCGGCTGAGCTGGAACGAGACTCAGTCTTGTGGCTTTCCTGGCCTGGCCACGGAGCATCCAGCCATGCGTCCCTTCCGCTTTCCTGGCTTCATATCCGGCTCTGAGCCTCAATCCCGCTTTGCTCTTGGTTGATTCGCTGGCATTTCGGCTTGGGAGTGAGCTGGGCTTGGCCAAGAAGCAGGCCCCCACTGCTACAGAGAATATGGCCACTCACCTGGTACGGGCGAACCTTGTGGTGGATTTCTTGGATCCCAACCTCTCGGGTTCTCACGTCTCGGCACTGCCAGAAGCAAATGAGAGGGAGGAGTCAGAGTTCGGTTCGGTATAATCACCTCCAGATTAAAGAACCGAATTTACAAAATCCAGCCATTTTTAATCAACCTGATGGGAGAAAGCAGAAGGAAAATGCCTCGGGAGAGCAGAATCCGAGGGTGGTGAACGCACAGAATCACACTGGAGGGCGAGAACTTAAGCTAAGAGCAGCATCCAGGGGCGCGGACAGCCCCCAGCCTGGAGTCAGCTCGAAGCCAGGCCCGCGGGAGATGAGAAGCACCCCCCCCCCCATGTCCACACACTCGCCGTTCTAGGAGAGTTACTGTGTTTTAATAGCTGTTATTTCGATCATTTTCTAAATGTCAAAATCAAGACCGCGGAGACGGCTGCTTTTGCAGAGGGCATGTGGGAGAAAGGGCGGAAGGAGGAAAGGAGGGGGGTGGGGGGGGGGGAGAAATGAGGGAGCAGGACCTGGGGCCACTGACTGAATCTGTCCGGAACTTTGGGGGCCTCCCTGGACAGGGTATGGCCAGAGGCGGCTCCGGTAGGCCCACAATGCAGGTGGCAGGTTCCCAGCGGACCCCGGCCTACAGCGGCATCTGGTGGTACAGCCTGCCTGACGGCCTTCCCTGCCCTTCCCTGTGGAAACTATTCTTACGTTGCTAACATTTTCCACCCCTGAGGAAAGATGATCCTAGGTCATGTGAGGTCAGGAATCTGCCGAGAATCCGATTAGAAAGACAACAGCTCCTGATTCAGTTCGGTGAACGATCAAGGCCCAGGGCCCAGGCCCGCCTGATCATGACTGGCACAAATGCAAACTCAGCACGAGAACTTGCTGCTTCTGTCTTTCGGGGGGGTGGGGGTGTGAGAGCAAAGGCCAGACGAGACCCACCCCCGTGTTCCCTGACTCCAGCCCAGGGAGGCCGGAGGCGAAGAACCCACCCGGCTCCCCTGGGGAGCTCTGGATGCGCGGGTCAAGCCTGGCCGTGACTGAGATGCTGCCCAGTGAGCGACAGGCTGCACGCGGACTCCAGAACCAACAGGTGACCGAGAGCTGGTGGCTGGCCGGGAGCCGGAGCTGTGGCGCAGCACTGACAGGGGCTTCGTGATTCTCCAGTTCTGACCCTTCAGAGGGGAGTGGGCGAGAGAGTCGCCGTGGTCTCTCCCTGGATGCTGGAGCAATCAGACACCGGGCTGGAGAAGCAGGAGTTAAATCATCACGGACAAAGGCGAGATGATGACATACAGACGTGACCCAAGAATTCTCAAAAGCCACCAGCAAGCGGGCAGCCGGTGACCAAATCAATACACAAGCGTCCACTGCATTTCAATAAGCCGCGGGCAAGCCAGCACAGAAATGAATTTAAGGGGCGACTCCACGGCTGAGGGCCATCAGCGGCCCAGGTGGGCCCGGAACCAGGGCCCAGGAAGCACCGTGACCTCCGGCTCTGGTGCTAAACGGAAGCCCAGACGGCCCAGAACCGCCGTGGGGACCCCGGAGCAGTACCTGCTGGGGGAGGGGGCAGAACAGATGAATAGAGAAACGGGGTCCCTATCTCCCAGGACTTAAGACCTGGAGATTAGACCAGAATCTGTGAGACATGCCCAGGAAGACTGGCTGAGCCCTCCAGACAGGGACCTCAGAGAGCACGGAGGTGCCCTCAAAGACCTGACTCCAAGGGCAGAGATGACAAAGACAAAAACAATCGGGACTGCAAGCAGTGAGAAAGCTTTTGCATGACAAAAGAAACTCCAGGCTAAAATGCAGACACCCTCTTGGCTGAAAGAAAACATCTGCACACCCTATATCCACCCTACATCCACCCAGGATCTATGAAACGCTGACAGAGCAACAACAAAAAACCCAGCCACCAACAGCATCAAGAAATGCGGGGGAAAGGCAAGGCTCAGACTGGGGGGGGGGGGGGTGTGTGTGTGCAAAGGGGGTCTCTCGGACAATATGGGGCGGGGGCAAGGGCTCTGCACATCAGCACCAGGACTGCTCACCTAAACGACAATAACAAAGGCTTGGTTTTGGTTTCTGGGACACACCAGCAGTGCTCGGGGGCTGACTCTCTGCTCTGTGCTCAGCGATCACTCCTGGCAGTGCTTGGGGAACCCTAAGTGGTGCCGGGGATCAAACAGGGGTGGGCCGTGCGCAAGTGATACACCTGCTGTATCACGTCTCTGGCCCTAAAAATACATTTTTTTAAAAAAGGTAGAGAGCTAGCTCAGGAGTCACGCCGCTGACCCTGGTTTCATCCCCAGCACCCTCACACACCAGACAGAGTCCAGCGCACACATGGCTGACGGCTGAGCAGGGGACCCAGAGGGCGTGCAGCCGGGGAGTACCCCCTGCAGGGGTGGGCGCGGTGTGGGGAGACCAGGGCCACGGCAGCCCCAAGCTCCCTTCCTACCTCCAGGGGGTTGGGGCTGGGCTTGGAGCTCTTACCTGAATGCCGAGGTCCTTCATCCGTGCGAACGCCAGCTCCCGCAGGTTCCCGTGCTCCACGCCTGAGGTGACGAGCGGCATCGGGATATCCCTGCGGGAAAGGACAGGTCATTGCTGGGTAGTGGTCACTCTCAAGAGAGGTGAGATGGGGACAGCTGCCAAGGGCGCGAGGGCAGAGCAGGGCAGAGCCTTGTCTCCCATCTCAGGGCACCAGGCATCAAACCAGGGTCAGCAGTGTAACCCTTGGACTAGCTCTCTGGCCCCTCAACTCATCTGCCCCAAATCCTGGGTATGAGACGGGGGAGGGGGGGGGTGTCTCTGTGCTATGGCAAAACCATCAGAACTGGGGGCCGGAGTGATAGCACAGCAGGTAGGACGTTTGCCTTGCACGTGGCTGACCCAGGTTCAATTCTCAGCATCCCATGTGGTCCCCCGAGTACCGCCAGGAGTAATTCCTGAGTGCGGAGCCAGGAGTAACCCGTGCATTGCTGGGTGTGACCCCCCCCCCCCCCCCCGCCAAAAAAAAAAAAGCAAGCATCAGAACAGGTGGGGGCTCAGGTGACATTTGTGCTAGGCAGACTGAGATGAAGCACCTCAGGCTGGGTGCTACCCGTGCGTGTTCCTGCCCGGCCCTGCCCGGACACAGTGCCGATGGCAGCAGCTCGGGCTCAGAGAACCCATCTCTCGGTTTCCCCAGCAGACAGACACCTTGCCTGGACAGCAAAGGCTGAAAGGCTGCTCTGCATTTCCCGGCATGGACGCGGCACTGTGTGCTCAGCCCTGAGGCAGTGACCAGGGAAAGTCCCTGTGAGCACAATGAGAACGTTGGCTCCAGTCAGCGGCCTGACAGTCTTGCCCTTTCGAACCAGACTCTGCAGCTCAGCGACTCTCCGGTGAAAACCAGCGTCTGCCTAGGACCACCTGCCTGACAGTGCGCAGAAAGACTGGAAGAGATGGCAGCTGTTGTTGACGTCACAGTCACTCTGGATCGACTAGAGAGTGGTTCCTGCTCAGCCCTTCTAAGGTACAGGGACCGTGACGGACTGTGACGAGCTAGTCAGACCGCTTGGCACCCAGAGCGAGGCCAGGAAGCCCAGAGGGCGGCGGGAAGGCGGCCTCTCTCTTTCTCTCACCCCAGAGACGCCCACAGAATCCAGGGTGCTAAGTCTACAGGCAGGCGGCCTGTTGTTTCCAGGAGAGTTAACTTCCTTCTTTGGCGTTTTACTTTAAAATCAAATACTTTTTTTTTTCCCACTGGCAGCCGGCTGGCCGGGAAGGAAAGCCATGCAAATGAAAAAGTCTGGTTTCTGCTGGCATGAACGTGAGCCAGCACTTGGGCTGGGACCCTCCAGGCCTAACACGGGACGGAAGCAGAAGTGGAATATTCTTCATGCCTGTCGAACACCCCGGTATTTTCCAAAGAACTCAAACCTAGGGTCTACATGTCCATGCCACAAAGTTTGAAGTGAAAGGCTGCATTGCGCTGCTGAAATGCATACGGGAAGGACCAGGGACACAGCGCAGTGGGGAGCGTGCCGGGCTTGCATGGATCAATCCCCAGCATCCCACACGGTCCCAAGGCACCATCAGGAGTCCGCCCTGAGCACAGCGCCAGGAGTCAGCCCTGAGCGAAAAGGTCAGCAGCAACACTGCTGGGAGGGATGAAAAAGGGCTCACGGGGGCCGGAGTGATAGAACAGTAGGGAGGGTGCCCGTGTTGCACGCGGCTGACCCAGGTTTGATCCCCGGCATCCCACATGGGCCCTGAAGGTGGCCAGGAGTGATCCCTGAGCACAGTCGGTGTGTCCTTACGCCAAGCAAACAACAACAGAAGAACTCATGGTCATGACGCCCACACTGTCAGAGCACAAGGGGACACAGGACAGGAGTGTTAATATCCACGATTTGCTCATCACAACCTCTCCAAGGGCGTCTGGGGCTTTCTGGGGTGTCAGAGGCCAGTTGTGGCTGTGAACTGATATCCCCTGCTCAGGCCGCCGCCTCATCACCCCACACCCAGGCTGACAGCTGTCGCTCGCCCGCAGGCTTTGATGGCGCTCGCTCGGCTTGTGCTCAACAAAATCGTGCATTTAAGCAGGGAGCAAGGCCTGGGGGTAGCGATAATCACCCAACGACAGGCTGCTGCTTCCTCGAACAGCTGGAAGATGCAGTGACTCAACTCTGAGGAAACTGCAAGTGTAAATGAGTTAAGGCAGAGAAGGGGAGGGGGGAGGGGAAGAGGGCCCGTCTGAAACGCCCAGTGACCAATCGGTGAAACAGAATTCGAAAGAAAGCGTGAGGCACCCTGCAACCTTGCAACGCCCAATTTCCCATCTCCTTTCGCTCCTGTTCTGCCCTTCTGATAAATACCCAGGAAATAACCCGAAACTTATTTTCTGAAAAACAGCTTCTCGATGGTCGGGGTTAGAAGAACCAGCCGGGGAGCTGTGCGTGACTGGGTGGCACAGTTCGGCTTTGGGGGGTGCCAGCAGAGAGGCACTTGCCTTTCCCAGGATTTCAAGCAAAATTAACTCAATTTTTTCCAGCCTGGTTAAACCCCGTGAGGTTTCCCCCATTTGCCAACGGTTTCTTCGCAGCAAGATACAATGGACTTGCTTGCAGATTCGTTTTGCACATTCTGACGTGGCTCAAAGCTGGAAACAAGCTGGAGAGCAGGAGCCCCTGGATCTCCCCCTCTCCCCAGGGGTCTCTGCGCCATTCCTCCTGGGCCTTCCCTGGGGGGTTGGGGGGGAAGGGACTGAGAGATGTTGCTCTCTGGTTCCATTCAACTTTCTTCCCAGGAGTGGCTCAGGCCTTGACAGTGGACCCCAGGGAGCTCTTTGTGAGGTCACGGGAAAATAAAGGCTGCGCTGAGCGTCAGTGAGTCACGGGTACAGACCCCCAAAGCAAACACAACACAGAGGAGCGGGGAGGGACCTGCGGCCGGGAGGCTTTGCACTGGAGTCCCAGGTTCAATCCCTGGGCTCGCACGTACCCCAAATAGTGCCTGACGTGACTCCTCTCAGATCAAAACCAAAAAACTACAACGAAGTCTGAGGGAGCTTGTGTGACAAGATCACCGAGTGAACATGTGACAGTGACACGTGGTGAGATTGCATTCTTCATCCTAAAGCCCAGGAGAAGGGTCCTGTGGCAGCTGAGGGGGCGCTGGCACTGAGGGAGAGCCTGTGCCTGGGGGGGTTGAAGCACAGACCCAGCTCAGGCTCAGAGGCCGCCTCTGACACAAATCTGCAAGGCACGTCCTGGACTCCCTCACACTTTAGGGCCGGGCATGAGCAGAGCAGTTAAGGTGCTTGCCCTGCATGTGGCCGATCCAGGTTCGATCCTCGGCACTGTCGTGGGTCCCCCGGGTTCCGCCAGGAGGAAGACCTGAGAGTCTGGGGCTGCCCAGTGGGTGCTCCTCCGCGCCCATACTCTTGACCACCCCCTGCTGGTCTTGTAGCTCGTGGGAGAACAAGGACACGAGTCCACGCCTCCGTGGCTGGGCCGTCCTTCCTGCCCCGGGCTCTGCTGACCCGCCCACCCCCACACTGAAACCGGACTCTGCCCCCCTCCACCCCCCCGAATTCGGTCACTGTGGCAGTGTCAAGCTGAGCGGGAGCGAGCATGCTACCTTTGCACGCGGTACACACGTGTCCACGGGGGCACGAGGGCGAGGATGCGGGCGACGAGCTCTACCAGGTCGCTGGGGGAGTAGCTCTTGTACCGCCCCGACTTCCACAGCTCATAGAGCCCAGTGCCGCGGATCACCAGCGTGGGGTAGAGTTTCAGGCCGTCAGGGCGGAAGGCGGGGTTCTCAAAGAACTCCTGTGGATGGAGAGAAGTGGGGCGGTGAGTGCTGGCGCCGTCAGGTCCGGCCTCCCTCCCCCTCGGCCATGGCAGGCAGTGACCGAGTTCCGCCCCGTACCGGGACAGCAGACCAAGGCGACTTCCAGCGTCTCCAGTTCTGTGCCCATTCTCCGGAGTCCTGACCCCCTTCCCTAAGGGCCTCCCCTCAGGACTCCAGCAAGTTCCTTGTGACTGACGACCTGCTTCCTGGCTGTGCTCAGAGATGACTTGTGGCTCTGGGCTCAGAGCTCCCTATGTACAAGGGGCTCAGGGGGCCATATGGACCAGGCACACGTCCTCCCTGCCGTCCTAGTGCTCTGGCCCTGATGTCTCAGCGCCGTCACTGACTCCCCTTCTCTCCGGCCCTTGACGGACACTATTTGTCTTGATTCCATAGAGAACGGCACGCTGCTCCAAAGTCCAGCATGCTGGTGGGAGGAGGCCAGCGTGGCACACATGCACGCGCGCACGCGCACACACACACAAGGGCCCCTGAGCACCCCGCCAGGCTCTGACAGTCACGTCCTACTCCCCCACATCATTCCGTCTGGCCACACTTCTTCATTTGGGCCACCCGGGAGGAAGCAGACATTCCCTTGTCCATAGCAGGCAACGAGAACTGACCGCACCCTGACTCCAGGTAGGACGTGGGCGGGGCAGGGAGGCGGTGGACGCCCTCCAGCCCCCTGCGCCCCCACTGCGCCCTACATCTCGGGAACAGGCTTCTGACACGGGGCTGTGTCATTCCTGCAGGGCCTCCCGCACATAATGGGGCAGGGGACAGGTTTCAGCCTATTCTTCAACACTATTCTTTAGCCAGGTTTGGTCTTGGGAATCTGTAATTGGCTGTAATTTCCCTGGGAGCATTTGCATAGAAACGACTCAACAGTCCTTAAAGGATAACACCAGCCAGCCTGGCAGAGGGGGTGCTGATGGAGGAGAGGCGTCAGTCACTTCCCGCACTGCCATTCACAACATGCCGAAGCGACAGCACGTTCATTGCTGACGCTGAGGAGAGGAAAAGCCCCCGGGTGTGGGGGCGCAGACACACGTCACAACCCTCCCCCGGGAAAGGCTGAGCAGGAAAATACCAGGGAGGGAAGCGGAGAGTGAAAACAGGGAGTGGCCGTGAGGTCTGGGGACGCGCAGCACCGCACCTACCGTGAACTGCTCCATGTCCCGCTCCAGCCCCACGTTGGGCAGGTCGGGCATCATGTGTGCCACCACCTTGAAGCCCGAGTCCTTGGCCAGGTGGAAGGACTCACACACGGCCTTCACAGTGTGGCCCCTGGGGAGAGAGCATGCACGAGTGTCCAGGCACACTCAGCGGGGACAGCTACGGCACGCGGGATGGGGGAGTGCTGGGCGCCCTCAGCAGGGATGGCCATGGCAGCGCGAATGGGGGAGTGCCAGGCACCCTTAGCGGGGACAGGCCACGGCACGTGGGAGGGGCCCCAGTCAGACGGGAAGTGCAGAGCGAGAGAAGAAGCGGGCGGCTCTGGGGCCAACGGGGAGGAGGAGCTGCGGGGGGGGGGCACCTGTTGGTGTCCCTGGCCACGTCCTCGTAGACGCTCTGCACCCCAATCTCCAGCCGCGTGCAGCCGTAGGTGAGCATGTCACCGAGATGCCGCTTCATGCAGTAGTCGGGCCGGGTCTCGATGGTGATGCCGATGCACTTGGTCAGGCTCCGCTCCGAGTACCTGCAGGGCGGGCGGCCAGGGGAGGGCTGACCCGGGACAGTGCTGGGGTCCACCCCGCCGGGAGAGCAGCTCTGCCGGCGGACAGCACCGGGGGCGGCCCTGTCTGTAGCTGACCCTGGTTGCAGGCTCAGCACCGCACAGCTGACCCGTTCCCCAGGTCAGGACTAGGCTGGGCGCCAAAGGGGGAGTCCCCGAAACGCTGAGGGGCAGGTCTGCCTGTCTCTGCAGGAGGCGGGTGGGGCCCTGATGCCTCTGGACCTGCCGCCACCTGGCTGGGCTGTCAGGGGCTGTACAGAACACACGCAAACAGAGATAATCTGACACACTGTGGCAGAGCCGCAAACCCAGACACTGGCCGACTGAGCCCAGCAGTGAAGTGTTTTGCCCCCTGGAGGGCAGCTGAGGAAGTACTACTCTGTCTAGTAGAGGAAATAGGCCTCTTTGCCCCTTTTTGTGTTGGGGGGTTAGGGGGGACCAGGACAGGACACAAAGATTCCCAAGCAATACTCCATGGGTTCCCATGACACTGGCTGATTAGGCCAGGAGGTTCAATACTGCAGAGACCCTGTGGTCAGGGTGGGCCAGGAGGCCATGGCACGCGTGACACAGCCCTCCAGGGGCCTCTGCCATGGACGGACCCAGGGAGCTGGCCGAGATGGCCGGGCAGTGGCTGACCGCGGGGGCACAGACAGGCGGTACAGGAACTCGGCTGCGAGAACGAAGCACCAGGTCGCGCTCAGGGGCAGAAACGACCAGCCCTGCTGTGGCCCGGGGACTGGACACAGCACAGCTCAGGCCAACCCCCACGCCCTCCTGCCTCGCAGGCACGTCACATAGCCCCGACCGAGCAGCTCCTCCCACCCAGGCTGCTGTCATCCCCCTCCTGACCCAACCCCAATCTCAGCCCCTGACAGTGGCCCCCACAACCCACTGCTCCGACCTCCCGACTCCACCCGCGTCATGGCAGGGGCCAGGGGCAGGGGCAGGGGCAGTGCTCGAGCTGGTGCCCCCTTTCAGCCAGAGCCTTCCCGTCCGTCCCCCCTGCACGCACACTGTCCCCTGCTGTGAATCATTCCGATGGGAAGAGGGGAAGAGGAAGCCTCAGTTTCCCCCTTGCCAGTGGGAGGAAAAGCCACAGCTTTCCAGATGTTCCATCTCTCCCACAACAACCAGACACATGTTCCACCCCCGAGGCTCTGTCTCAGCATTCCCGGGGCTTCCCAGGAACATAAAACTCTTCCCTGGGCTCTAGGCTGACAGGGACACAAGATAACTGGCGATTGGGAAACGGAGATAATTGCCAATTAGGCCTGGAAAGTTTGTTTCCCTTTGTCACCGAAGGAAGCAACCTTCTTCCAGGAGGCTCCCTCTTGGCCCCTGTCCTCCACTGACCCAACACATTTCATTCCCAAAGTCCTGCCCCAGCGGTCAGAGAGATTTTCAGGACCATAAAACTCTGTCCTGGAGCCTCGGCCGACAGGGAGACGAAGATAAAGGGCAAAAATGCCCAGAGAGATTTAGTTAGACCAGCTGGACCTCATTGTAATTTTCTGTAACCTTTCTCATAAACACTTGCCAACCGATAAGGGATGCCAGGAGCCCTGCAAACGGCCTTCACAAAACTCCCTGACCTTACTTAGTCCTATGTTAAGTTTCGCCCCACTTGAGAAGCTCCTTTTCTTTTCTCTTCGACTTTCCATTCCATTTTTCTATTTTGCAACTCTGAGCCTGAGTATCTTATTCGACATTTTCATTCTTGAAAATGTGGGAATCATGAGTGTACCCAGAGCCTGGCACACTTCTGCCTCATCCGCATCATTGCCACCTGGCAGAACGAAGACCCGTCCCCAGAGACGACCCCCACACCCTGCTCCCACCCGCGGCCCCGTGACCACCCCGTTCCAGCATCTGTCTTTTCCGCTCCAGGCCTGATGCTCATCCCGATGCTGCCAGCCTCAGCTGCGGTCACCGTCTCCCCAGCAGAAGGCCCCACTCTCAGGCACAGCAGGGTCTGGGGCAGCACTCACGGCCTGGAGCCAGGAGGAAGCACTAAAGGTCAAGGCCACGGTCCTCCTCGTCCCGTGCCGCATGCTGGCCTCACACAGCGCACAGGGGCTGACCACTGTGGGCCCGTCCAGGCAGCCCCCAGACCTCAGACCTGACGGGGGAAAGCTCAGCGCTGAAGCCGACACTGCTGGAGCTGAGCTATGAGGCACATCCTGCTTGGACCCAGAACCACACAAGCTCACAGCTCCCCAGTGGTCACCGGAGGTCACTCCAGACCAGGGCGTTCGGCGTCTCACAGACGGTTCTCTGGACTGATGCTCTTCCCACTCACCTGACCCAAACGGCCCCCCGGCCTAGACCGGTCTCAGATGAAAAGCCTGTGTGCTGACTCCAGGAATCACTCTTCCTCTGAGATTTCTCTGGGTCAACAGATTATTCCCACTTAAAAAGCAAATTTTTTTTTTTTTTAAATTTTGGGTCACACCCAGTGATGCTCAGTGGTTCCTCCTGGCTCTGCACTCAGGAATTACTCCTGATGGCGCACGGAGGGATCATATGGGATGCGGGGGATTGAACTTGGGTCGGCTGCATGCAAGACAAATGCCGTACCTGCTAAACTATAGCTCCAGCATCACACCCCCGCCCCCGCTTTTTTTTTTAGAGAATGTTTTCAACAACAACCTAAAAAAAACCTTTCCCACCAAAAGGCAGTTAACTGTAAGAAAGAGGAACAGAAGGATTCTCATCGGCCCATCTCTGCTACAAAGATAAACCCAACTGCTCCTTTGAAGAACATGATAAAGAGGGTTTCTTACTTGACTGCCTCGTAAATATTGTTGGAAGTGTGTCCTGACAAGGCATCGTGTAAATTCCGAATAAAATAATCTCTGTATTCTTCCGGAAGGGCCATAAACGTTCCGCCCATCACGATGAACTCCACTTTATCCACACTGTGACCGAGCTGTTTCAACTGAAAGACACAGGAACTCGTCAGCACCCAGCTGCCTGCCCCCTGGGCACTGCAAATTTCTAACTGTAATGTTTCCATCAGGATAATTTTAAAGTGAGGAGCAATTAGAGACATTTAGCTAGCTCCAGGGACTTAAAGTGGAAAAGAAAAAAAAAAGAAGTCAATGTCACCAGATGTGTGAGGATGAAGGTTCCTCTTTCTTAAAAATAGGCAAAAGTGAAATAAAATTGCCAAAAAAGAAAAAAATAAATAAAATGAAAATCTGTCCCGATACCCGGAACACAGCAAGGTCATGGGGTCACGCTCCTTGATGTACTTCAGCCCCATTTCCCACGTGAGTTCTTCAGAACTGGTGGTGCTTGATTCCCCGGAGGGTTTTGGGGGAAGATCAGTACCCCCGGGGCTCCTGTCTTGGTCATCCCCGCCCGGGTGCACAGCCACAGGACTGTCCAGCAGAGTGGATGGAAGCTAACATTCGCTGCCGAGTGCCAGTTTCCACAGACGGGAAGGTTCGAGAACCTCTGAGCCACTGCAGGCGACCAAAGGAGCTCGAAGTCAAGGAGTGCATCTGACCTCACGGGGTCCCGCCGATGTCTCCCTCCGCCAGGCGCAGAGGAGAAAGATCCTCTTCCTTTCTCATGCCAGGTGCCAGCTGAGGACTGACACTTCGGGAGGGTGAAACCCTATTCCACACGCTTTGGAGGGCACTTACCTGCTCCAGCCGGTGTCTCGTCTGTAGGAAAGGGTCATAGCGGGCACGGATAGCGCGCATGGAGGTGGGCTGAGGGGAGAGAGACATATCCGATATTCCAACGCTGAATCCAGCGGAAAAGTCCGTCTCGAAAGGGCTGCGATCAACCCACTGTCCCCCTCCCTCACCCTCAGCTCCTAAGTGTCTCCGCAGAACCGGACAGAATTCCGGTTCTCGGCCACGCCCTCCCAGGTCTCGGCCCCACGTGACTATACCTCGTAGCCTGTGTAAGACTGGGTCGAATATTCAAAATCGGAGTCTGGGCCACCGGGACAGTATCTGCCAACAAGGAGAAAGTGATGTCAGCATGCTAGTGGCGATGAACCCAGTTCAGGGATGGTGCCACGGTGCCACCGTGGCAGGGCTGGGGAAGGGGCTTCCCTGGGCTGCACCAGACCACACGTGGTGCCAGGGGCTCAAACTGGGGTCGACTGCAGCCAGGCAAGTGCCAGAAGCCCTGTACTTGCAATCAGGCAAGTGCCAGCCCTGAGTTTGAAATTGTGACAGGAACCTGCATTAGGGCTGCCTCGATGCTCTCTCTCCCCAAGCAGAATTAAGGCCTTCATCCTGCCACCCATGACCAGTCTTCTCCTTTCCACAGATCCGGCCTACACAGCCTGATGGCTTACTCTGACGAAGGCCTTCCCAGCAGATGTCTGGGGAGGAGACAGGAAGCAAGGGGTCAAGCTCAGGGTGCCCCGTGCTCTACAATGGACTGGCTTTCCAGCCCGCAAAGGAACCCCTTTAAAGGTCATTCATAACAACGACCTTCTGCCACCTTTCTGAGGCAAATTGGCTCTTTGGGATTTAGACAGCTCACTATTTCCACCTTCTGATTAGCAAGTTAATAGCGTGCCAGTGTTTAAAGTTCTAGAAACGAGAACAAATTAAACTTTTGTTTATAGTTGAGACTTAAAATATATATATATATGTGTGTGTGTGTGTGTGTTTCTAAAACACTTATCAGGGTGTTCGAGGGCCCAATGACACCTGGGAAGGCCTGCAGCCCAGCTCTGCTCACTGGCCAGAGGCTCACTTTCGCCCACCTGTCCCCAACAGGGCCAGTGGTATGCCGGGGAACACCAGGGGGCCCCCAGGATCACTTTCCTACAGCTCCCCTCTGTGTGGCCACAGGCACGGCTGCCTCCTTTCTGCACGCCCCAGAGGGGAGAGGGCTGCGTGTGCCCCTGTGGGCGACGTCCTGGAGGATAAAGGTTCTGGCAGAAAGGCTACCAGCTGCAGCCTTAAGAGAGCCATTTCTCAAATGAAAAAAAAAAAAAAAAAAAAAAAAAGAGAGCCATTTCTCAGGCACCGAGATGTCTCGGGAAATGACTGATGACTAACTCAGACCAAAGTCTTGGGGGCTGTGATCAGGACAGCGGCATCAGCACCCGCCCACCCGCCTGCCCGCTGAGCCCACTCACACGCAGATGTTTCCCGTGAGGCTGATGTGGGGACACCGGTGTGGCTTGCACATCACAGCCACGACAGCAATCTGCAAAGGAGGAGAATGTGGGTCGCAGAAACCTTGGCGGCAAGTTCTAGAGAACGGTTCTCTCTCGAGGCCACAACGGCGTAGAACTGGCTGTATTTCTTTTCTTTTTAGGGGGTGGGGGATAGGGACCCTCCCAGATAGGACTCAGGTGACACGTGGCTGTGGGGTCCTGCGGGATGCTGGGGCGGTGGCAGGGAAGCCGCGTGCGGGGCCCATGCTCAGTGCCTTCACATGCACAGCAGGGGCTCTGCTGCGGTCCCGCCGGGGGTTCCCTAGAGAGGCCTGGGGGCAGCGCACACACCAGCTGATGGTCCGGTCTGCAGCCCAGCACGAGACTGAGAGGCACGGTGACGCTCGCTCTCGACTCTTACTAACGTGCCCATTTGGGGAAGAGACAGTGACGCTCACCCTAGGCCCCTGCAGCTCCCGGGGTCTCGCTACTTGGAGCGGAGACCACGAGACCCACAGCCAGATTCACAGAGGCACGCTGCTCGGGGTGCCAGACCCCAGTGGGGTGCGCCGGGAGATGGGCTGCATGGGCGGCTGCTCAAACCCATGAATGGGCCTGGAGCCCGGTTTCCCGCTGCTGGGGAAGTTGTGGACAGGGCCAAGGAAGGGGCTGGGCGAGCTCAGGGTCAGAGCTGTGGGGGATGCTGAAAACCCACTGTTCAACCTACGTTCTGGGCACCCATCTGTGCAGGAGGACATGGGCGTTTCCTAGCGTGGTCAAAGCTGGCCGAGAACAGCGAGCCCTGGACAGTGCAGGCACAGACAGGGGTGGTTCCTCTACTCTCGCCATGGAGGGGATGGGGCAGGTGATGGTGACCAGGATGAGAAGGCAGGGATGAAGGATGCAGGCCCGGGATGAGGGCAGGGATACAGGATGCGGGCCTGGGATGAGGGAAGGGATGCAGGATGCGGGCCCAGGGCAGTGGGATGTGGGCAGGTCAAGTCCCGGATCAAGGGCGCCTGCTCTGAGCATGTCCAGCAGGCCTGAGAAAGGGTCTCTGTGCTGGATGCCCAACTTCCCTCCGAGTCTGCTGACGTCTCGTGGGAGAGATCGCGGAAAGACAGTGAGTCACAAGCATCAGGGGCTGACGACATGACTTCCAGAGTCACCTGGATCCAGTCCCTCCTGTGGAACAGCAGCGCACACCCCCACTCACAGGAGGCTGCGTGTCCACAGACTCGCATGGGGCCCTGAGCCCCAGGTCCACCACTCACCCCGCTGGCGGTTCGAATGGGCTTGGCCTTGAGCTTGGGGACCAGGACCTTCCGGTACTGAGGCGGGACAGCGGCGATGATGTCCACCAGGCGGGGCTGGGCAGAGAGGCCATACTTGGCGGCCGTCCTGGTCTTCACCCTGAGGAAAAGCATCGGGCGTTGCCATGCGCCTCAGCTCCACCACACAGGGCTGCGAGGGCCGGCCAGCATCTCTGGGCCAAGACAGGACAGCAGGGAACGTGCTCTCCTCACACACGGCCCACCTGGGCTCCCCCCCCGAGTCCCGCCAGCAGAGACCCCCGAGCTCAGAACCAGGAGTCAGCCCTGAGCATGCCAGGGGTGACCCCCAAACCAACACAAGTTGGAATGTGGACCCTGGTCACTCCCGTCCTGTCTGTGGATGGCAGGCGTGCTTGGACGTCTGTGAGGTCAGGCCCCAGCAGGACGATCGTGAGCCAGAGATGTCCCGTTCTCACCCGGGAACCCCAGAAGCAAACAGAATGGAAGGGCTTGTGCACCTCCCCACCCCAGGGCAGCTGCTTCCCGCTGGGGGGCTGCTCAGTGCACCAAGGGCACAGCACACACCCTACCCTACTCCCAGCCCTTTCTGCCAACAAATGCCCCTGATGCCCGAGTCAGGGAACGGCGGGTCGACGTGCCAGAAAGCAGGAGGCTGCTATATCGGGTGGGGAGATGCAGGACGGGCAGAAGAGGAAGAGGAAGCCAGATCGAGAGGCTGCACCCACGGGGTACAGGAGCCTGCAGGGAGGCCCAAGGCTTGTCCCGGGGCCTGCGTGGGGACCAGAGGCCCAGCACAGGAAACGGGGCAGCGAGGGGACGGGAGGTGGGGAGAGCAAGGGGGCAGTGGCCAGGCCCTGGGCCAGACCAGCACTCTCCAACCCTCCCACCCTATGCCGGAACGGCCCAGCCGTTCTACCGGGCAGATTAGTGGCTTCCAGCCTCTCTGCCCTACGGGCCACGCCAGGCCAGGGACCGGCGTTGGAGGCAAAGATTTAAAAGGCCTGGAGGAGGAGCTGGTCGAGGAGATAAAGCGTAAGTCGGAAAGAAGGAGGAAAAGGCAGAGTGCAGCTGCTTCCGGGGACGGGAGGGGATGCAGAAGCCTCGGGAGCAGGGGCTTCCAAGGGCGGTGCTCCAGCCCCCAACACACTGCGGGCTCAGATCTCGGGGAGGGCGAGCGGAGCGTCCGCCTCCCACAGCTTCTGAGAACCGACTGAGCCACAGGACATGGTCACCCTGGTGACCAGAATGCAGGGGGCGTCTGAGGCATGTCACACGCTGTTAGCATCAGTGCACCATGGGACAATTTTGTCATACGGGGGCCAGGGAGGACAGAAAACCACATTCTTTGCTGAAAAGCAAACCGAGAGAGAGCAAGCACGGATCCGATGGTTTCCTCAGGGCGCGCCCACTGAGACGGGCCGGACGCACTCACTTGTTGAGATCAATGTCCTTCCCCTGCTCATGGGCCTCCACCAGCTGCTGGATGACATCGCCGATGGTCAGCATCATTAATTCCGCGGGGCTGAGATCTCCTGGAAACACAGTCACCATGTGAAAAGAGTTCCACTCTTCACTCTAGACTTTCCACCTCCCCTGCCTTCCTCCCCACGGCATTCCGGCTGTTAGGAAATCGCGGTGGGACTTCTAAAGGTTAGGTGGCCACAAGCCTCAGCTCAGCCGCCGACTGAGACACACAGAGACAGGACAGAAAATGTCAAGGATTTATTCACACACCGAAACACACTCAGACACGGGACTCAGCACTGCGGGTTCACGAGCTTAAGAGACTTGGAACCCCGATCGCCCTCCAGGAGAGGTTTTAAGTCCTCTGCCCTCCTGTCCACGTGCGCAGGTACCCCCTGCCTGGTGCATGCTCATGGCCTTGACCAAGCGAGCGGAGGGTACAGAAGCGAAACAGAGCAGCTCACACATTCTGTTGCACTGACTTGAACCCCCCTGTTATCTCTGGGCAGAGGTCTGGGCGCTTATGTCCATGTCCTTGGGGTCTGGCATATTTTTCTTACCAGGTTGTAAACTCATGACTCTGAGGCACAAAATGGGGTCTGGCTTTCCAAAACAGAATGGCAGTGGCCGTATTCCCCACCCCCCACCCCCACCATGCCAAATGAACAGCTCGAGTTCCTACGCCACACCACTGGTGGGGTTTACAATTTGATCTCATCTTCTGTTACTGCTGATTTAACCTGGGTTTTCCCGGTGCATGCATGGGAAGCAGTTGCTTTAGAAGGCATGTGAGAATCATACCACGAGAAACATCAATAAAGGAAGGAGGCAAGCGCGAAGAGAAAGAACTTACACCAGGAAGGACCAAATTAGTTAAAACCGCTTCCCTTTATCTCCAGGTTTGTAATTACCGATAGTTGCAGAACACTGCAGTTCAAGAACATGCAGATGCATTATTTCCCTCTCAGAATGGAGGGAAGAGGTCGGGAATGGCAGCTGCCTCATGAAAGTGCTGCCAGGGGGGCCAGAGAAATAGTATAGGGGGTTAAGGTGTTAGCCTGGCTCAGAGGGAACCCGGGTTCAATCCCTGGCATCACCCACAGTGATCCCTGAGCACAGACTCTGGAGTAAGCCTCAGCACAGCAAGTTTTGGGCCCAACTCCCACTCCCCACCCCCCCAAAAGAGCTACCGAGAGTAGAAGGTAAAATTAACATCAGGTAACTGAAGCCAATTTACAAACTGCAAATGTGGTGTCTAATGGGTTTAACGCATCTCTGAGGTACTGTTTGTTCCATCACCAGCACCTTCCTTTGGGCAATGGAGGTACTGAAGAGCAAATGCCGAGAGGGTCTGGCCAATGTGGCCCATCTCCCTGCTGACAGGTTTAGGACAGGCAGCCACACCAGCCAGAATAACCTGAGTTCTTGACCTCCAGGCAGAAATCTCCCAACTCTCTCCAGAAGTGAACGGTGGGAGGCCAGCAAGTATGTAAAAGTCATCAGAGAAAAGGAAAGATGAGAAAGTCCCGGGAGGCCTGCAGCTCGTGACGGACCAGATCTCACCTGCAACTCCCAGCACTGCTGGGAGACAGTGCCCCCAGCTCACTGATCCAAAGGGTCAAGGCAGCTCGGGATCCAAGAGACAGTACAGGGGCGGGACACTTGCCTTGCACAGCAACAGCGATACCCACAACACTGGGTTCAGTTCCTGGCCCCACACATGGTCCCCTGAGCACCACCAGGAGTAAGCCCTGAGCACCTGGGGGGACTAATTCTGGCCCCCAATGCACCACCAGGGACGGTGCCCAAAGTAACCCTCCCTAAGAACAGCAACTGATGAAGAAGAGTCTTTAAAAAAAAAATCAGAATTCTTCTTGCTTTATCGTGGGTTCATATGTATGGAATTTCAGGAGCTTTAACCTCATGCCTCTCTCTAATACTCACCACTCCCACCAGCAAGGTCCCATGACCATCCCACTGCCCAAAGACCCCGATACATATTAAAATAAACTTCCTCTAGGCCATTTCAAGGCAAGAACAAGGGCTGGTGATAGGTGAAGACAAAAGCCACCTGGCTGAGATGAACCATTCATCCGGGACCCGTGGAATCCATTGAAGGGAAAAGCAAAACCAAAGGCAACTGCACAGCTGGAGCAGCCGAATGGACCGTGGAAGCCCAGCGGCATGGAGATTAAGGGAGAAGTTTCAACTTTCATCTTTTCTTGGGGGAGGTTGGGACAGGTGTGCGGCTTCCTAACACAGGCTGGGGAGACGGGGGTGGGGGAAACACTCTCAGTCCTGGCAGTTGATTGGTCCAGGTGATCTGATGCTAGCCCAAAGGGGCTGGGGACCATTAGGATCTGGGGCAGTGCTAGGGGTCAACAGGGCCAAACCTGGAGGAGTTGGCGGCAGGATATCAGTTTGGTGAGGGGTCTCAGGCATGCAAGACATAAGCTCCAGCCCTTTGAACTATCACCCTGACGCGAGACTCCCTTTCATTGCAGGGGGGTTGGGGTGGAGAACGGGGTGCCTGAGCAGCCTGACATAATCAATTCCATTCTCCATGCTTCACTCCAGGCTGGGGAAGTTATTCTATCCTTTGCCTCCCAGCTTCTTCACCTCTGACATGGAGGTGACACCGGCTCCAAAACTATTAGGGAAAGCTCAACCAAGGGGAACCATTTCTATCACGCTGTCAGCTTCACCAGAGTGCTCCAAAGAAGGGGCGGGGGGAGAATTAGAAGCTGCATGGGAATCTTGCCGTGGGCTGAGTGGGTGGTGGTGGGCAGGGACCAGGGCACACACTCAGGAGGAGACCAGATGCTCAGAGCAGCAATGCAACGGGGAATCACTGCAGCAACTGCCCCATCGAGTGCCAGGATCATTAGAATTGTTCCTTTATTTTTTTCCCCCCTTTTAAACTAGGGGCTAAAAAAAAAATTCTAATTATTTTTGGATTTTAACTTCTCTCTCTACCGAATGCCACGATCGTCAGGCATTTCCGCTCCCCCCTTTTTAAAATTTCTTTTTAAACTCGGGGCTTTTAAAAAAGATCCAAATTATTATTATTATTTTTTTTTTAACGTGAAACGTGTCCTAACACTGCTAGGCAATTGAGCGGCCGCGGGACTTCCTCCGAGCTCCTGCGAGGCTGCACCCCTGCGAGCTCGCGGCTGCACGGACACAGGGTGCAGGCGCCCGGCACCCCCGCGGCAGGCAGCGGCGCCCCCTCGCGACCCCCCGACCCCCGGTCCCGCGCCCTCCCCTCCGCACCTTTCCGCTTCTGCTTCATCTTGGCTCGGTGGCAGCAGCAGCAGCAGCTCCGAGCACGGGAAAACTCCACGGCCGCCAAGCGCCCCGCTTGTCGTGAAAGTGTCGTCAAAAGTCGTAACGCCGCTCCCAGAAGCCCTCGCGCGCCGTCTCCCGGGGCAACGGTGGAAGCGGCCTGTGGCTGCGGATGCTCCCGGGGGTTCCAGGGGGTGGGGGCGCCGTGCCAAGTTGAGTGGCAGCTCCGGGACCTGGATTCTCACCCCGAGAAGGGGCACGTGTTGCCGTTAACCAGTAAAGGTTATTTTGCTCCTGCAAAATAGTAATTAAGCACCTTTTCATTTTGCTTTTTTACTGTCATTGCCCTTAGGCAGGTTTGGTGGGGGGTGGGGGTTGTGTCATTCCCACGGATGCTCAGAGATCCCTCCTGGCTCTGCACTCGGGAATTACTCCTGGTGGTGCCAGGGGGACCATCTGGGGTGCTGGGGATCGAACCCTACCCACTCTTTCATTGTTCCGGCCCCTGTTAGTAGCTCTTGCTGGTGTGATTTCATTCCAGGGACCAAATTGCCTTCATGTTTTTTTTTTTTTCTTTTCGGGTCACACCCGGCGATGCACAGGGATCACTCCTGGCTCTGCACTCAGGAGTCACTCCTCGCGGTGCTCAGGGGATCACATGAGATGCTGGTAATCGAACCTGAGTGGCCGCGTGCTAGGCAAGCTCCCTACCCCTGTGCTATCTCTCCAGCCCCAGCCTTCATGGTTTTGAAAATTAAATTCACATGTGCCTTCAACTGGTGGAAGGGTGGGAGGAAGAAATACTGTTTACTTTATTATTTTTTAAAAAGATTGATTGATTGATTGATTTGCTTTTTGGGTCACACCTGGCGATGCACAGGGATTAGTCCTGGCTCTGCACTCAGGAGTTACTCCTGGCGGTGCTCAGGGAACCGATACTGTTTACGTTAATGCAAAGAAATTTCCAGTAGAGGGAGACCAGAGTCCACTAGATGGGGGTGTAAGTACAAACTGTGATTTTGCCCAGAGAGCTAAAAGAGTAACTAAGGGGAGTCTTCTCATGTAGATTGACTTCTTCCTCTGGACACTCTGTTGGATATTACAATAGCTTTCTTATGGATGTGTCAAGACACCATTTCAACACAAGACAATACCCCAAAGATGTGCCTGCCATTCTTTTCTGACTTCCTCGATCTCTGATGCCTTACTTTGGACTAAAACCACCTAGGGTTGCTGAATGTTATCCTGGAACTTGACCAACCTCCCTTTACAGAGCAAAACTGAACCCTGAAAAAAATTGCCTTTGGGTCTGGAGCAATAGTACACCACATAGGGCGTTTGACTTACATGTGTCCTACCCAGGTTTTATTCCTGGCATCCCATATGGTCCCCAAGCACTAATTCCTGAGTGCAGAGCCAGGAGTACCCCTGAGCATTGCTGGGTGTGGCCCCCAAGAGAAAGAAAGAGGGAGAGAGAGAGAGAGAGAGAGAGAGAGAGAGAGAGAGAGAGAGAGATTTTCTACTTCATAGCAAGATCCCCAACTCAGACAAGTGAATTCAAATGAAAGGACTGTGTGGACAGAGGTGTGGAACAATTTTTCCAATTAATGTGTTTATACTCCTGGTGTCAGGAGTGGAATTATTTGCCCGTATGCAAGTTCTGTTTGTAATGAATGTTGTGAGGAAATCTCCAGGTCCCTCAAGTGCCCAGCAACCAATGAACAGATAAGGAAACTGGGACATACACATGAGTGAATTCTACTCGGTTCTGAGATGGAATCCGGCTGCTTGCTGCCGAGCGGATGAGAACATGCCCTGCTGGGTCGGAAACTGAAAGATAAACACCACATGATCTCGCTCAGAAATGGAGTAAAAAGAAACCAAGAAAGGCATGACACAGCCTCCAGTGCAAATAAACCCCGAGACGTCCTCTTGGCACCGGGACTGAGCGAGCAGGACTGTGGGGTAGGTAGGAGGAACTGGAAACAGTTGTGGAGGGTGAGTGTTGCAGCCATCACACAAGTGCAGTCACTGTCACTGTCCTCCCGTTGTTCATCGATTTGCTTGAGTGAGCCCAGTAACGTCTCCATCGTGACACTTGTTACTGTGTTTGGCATATCAAATACATCACGGGGAGCTTGCCAGGCTTTGCCATGTGGGCAAGATACGGGTAGCTTGCCAGGCCCTTTGAGAGGGGTGGTGGAATCGAACCTGGGTCAGCCGGGTCGGCCGTGTGCAAGGCAAACGCCCTACCCACTGTGCTATTGCTCCAGTCCACACAAGTGCAGTACCACTGCAAACTACTCAGAGCTCCCAAGCAAAAATAAGGTTTGAACAGATTATTGATGGGGAAATAGCTCACAGTGTCTCAGAGGGAGGAGATTGTCATGAAGAGCCCCCGGAATGCAAATGAGTTTCACTTCTGCTTACAGCATGTAGAGTGTTTGCCTTGTCAATGTGGCTTTGGCCAGTCTAGCCACGAATCCACGCCCTGGTGCTTCCAAATCTCTAAACCAAAGCAGAGAAACCGCCCGCCTGGTCCAGTCTCCCGTAGGCAGAGCAGAAACGTGATTTCGGGTAAGTTGGCTTCTCCTTTGCCATCTTTTGCAACCACTTGCCATTGATTTTTTTAAAAAAGTGATGTGGAATGTGCAGGAAAGTGGAGCGGTCAGTACAGAGATAGAACCAGGGAGTTCACCCATGCCTCCTCCTCCCTCTCACATGACTCAGGCACTTGCATTTGGATTAATTAGCCACCAGCTCCGCTACTGGCTGGGCCAACTCAGGAGAGCTCCGTGGCCCCTTTATCTTCATTCTCTCCAGCTCCCTGCCTTTGACCTCCAGCCTGGGGAGAACCCACACATTTAGTCTGCGGCGTCTCTGAGGGAACCAATGTAGATAGCACTTTCCTGCTGTGACAACCTTCTTGGTGAGGGGTGCAGGCCAGGTTTCTGTGGGGGTCACTGCTCTTGAGATGAGCCCATTGCTCTAATGATTTGGCTGAAGTGATGGCTTGGGGACACATCGCATCCAGGGAATGTTCTAGCAACTCACCTGGGAGACCCTATATGACATTGGTGCTGCCCTTACCCATCTGACTGAGCCATGCATATCAAGATGGTCTTGTCAAGTTCTCTTCCCCATGTGCCATCACACCCCCCTGGAAAGGAAAGCACCCCCAAAGCCCACCTTTCTGCATGCCACAGGTGACTAGAGGAGAGCCTGGTCTCTTTTCCTCTCCTGGTTTTCTTCAAAGAAGCTCTGGGGGCTGAGAGATTGTCCACTGGCTGTGGTGCTCGCCTTGCATGCAGCCGCCCATCCTGGGTTTGATCCCCAGCACCACGTATGGTCTCTGAGCCCTGCCAGGAGCAATACCTGCGTGCAGAGCCAGGAGTGAGCCCTGAACATCGCCAGGGGCGATGCCCCCAGAATAAGTTGTTTGGGGCCAGGGAAATCGTTCAGGGGTTGAAGATGCTTGCTGTGCACACAACCAACCCTGATTTGATCCTTGGCACCACCATATGATTCCCTGTGCAAGGAGAGATTCCTGAGCACAGAGCAGGGAGTATGCCCTGAGCAGTGGGTGTGACTCCCCCAAACCAAATAATAAGTTCTTCCTGGAGGTACGGTTATTCTCTCTTTTACTCTCCTTGTGGGTTTTAAGGCTCTGGAAAGCCAATGAGCTGTAGAGTGGGGGTTCAGTCTGAACCCTAATGTGTGTGTGAGGCTCTGGGCATCCCTCACCAAAGTCAACAGGCTCTGGGCAGTGGGGCTCAGTGTCCTCACCAGCCTCCTTAGCTGGCGTGGCTCCAGGAGCAATGTGAGAGGAGTCAGGCTGGAGAAACCAGAGTTCCATAGAGGATGGTGTGGAGTATGGGGCAGGGAGAGGACGGGACGGTCCCAACCCTCCCGGGGAGTTGTGTGTCACCGACAGCCGGCCCTTCCACTGGTGTGTCCTCGTGGAAATCGTGGGAGCCAGAGCTCTTTGCTTTGGGTGAGGGAAGGTCCCAGTCCTCCATTTGTCTCTGCGCAAAGATGCTTACCCGGATGCCCGGGCAGAGCCCTGGTTAGGAATCGCTGAGCAGTGCCAAGTCAGGCCGGAAGGCAAAGTCCCAACACCCAAGGTAGGGTTGGAGCCTCAGAGAGAGGCAGGAAGCCCACACGGGCCCGGCACGGGTAGTATTGCGACACCCCCCACAGCCCCCCTGCAGTCCCCTGTTCTTCCTTTGAGACCACCCTCTCTCAGGCCGGGAAGATAGTTCAAGTGGTTGAGCACATGTTTAGCATGTATAGACCCCAAGCTCCATCCCCAGCAACACTGGCCACCCCCCCCCCCCAGCACTACCCACAGCCTCCTGTCCCCTGTTAAAGCTGACACACAGAAGGGGGAGAAAAGGTGTAAGATCACTGTCAAACCCCCAGTTCCTCAACAGGAAGCCCCTCCTCGCAGTGTCCCCAGAGCAGCTAAAAATGCAGGGTCGTGTTCAGAGGGGCTATTCTTAGGCTCAGCTCACGCGCATGTAAATAAGTACCAGCAGCAACACCTGTGCCAAACCGGTCTCCGGCACACCCAGCAGACAGCCTCGAGTGACCAGCTTCTGGAAGTTCCACACAGGAACAGCTGCTGCCGGCCGCGTGGAAGCCGGTCTGAGAAGCTAGTCACCGCGTCTCTCCAGGGAGCATCCAGGGCCCTTGGGATGTATGACGTCCCCCCCATCTCTGCCCTGTCACTCTGTCCCTTCACTCACTAAGCCAAGTGCTTGCAGGTGCAGGGTTTAGAGTTTCCTGACTGGGGCACTGAAGTCACCCAAAGCCCAGGCCTGTTCCCCCCCCCCCCCCACCTTCTTCTGTTCTGGAAACATCAGATTTCAGGCCGAGGGGCCTGGGCAGTATAAGGGGGTCCTGGGGCGTGGACATGTGGCTGCTTTGCACCCACGACACCCAGAGTCCCACGTCGCTTCCCAGCGGGAGATATTATTTCTTGGGTGATAAGTTTAACTCTCTGTAGCTCCAACTAAGGGCTGGGGCGATAGCACAGCGGGTAGGACATTCGCCTTGCACGTGGCCGACCCAAGTTCGATTCCTCCTCCCCTCTCAGAGAGACTGGCAAGCTACCGAGAGCATCTTGCCTGCATGGCAAAGCCTGGCAAGCTCCCTGTGACATATTCGATCTGCCAAACATAGTAACAACAAGTCTCACATTACTGGGCTCGCTCGAGCAAATTGATGAATAATGGGAGGACAGTGACAGTGACAGCTCCAACTATTATTGAAAACCAGCTATCTTGGGGGTCAGAACAATAGTGCAGTGGGGAGGGCATTTGCCTTGCACGTGGCCAACCTGGATTCAATCCCTGGCATCCCATAGGGTCCCCTGAGCACAGCCGGGAGTAATTCCTGAGTGCAGAGCGAGGAGTAACCCCTGAGCATCGCTGGATGTGACCTCAAAAAGCCAAAGGGAAGGGGGGGAAAGAAAAGAAAAAGAAAAAAGAAAAGAAAACCAATGGTCCGGCACTGATCTTTGTCACGGGGGAAGGGCTGACTCCTGACTGTGCTCAGGGGGACGATGGGTGCTGGGAATTAAACTGGGATCAGTCACGTGCCAAGCAGGCGCCACAACTATGGGTCAGCAGGGGTCACTGACCCTGCATGTATGGCCCTGGGCTCAAGCCCCAGAACCACATGTTTCCCCTCAACACCAAGCTAGGGGTGGCTCCTGCTCACCCTCACATGCTGTCATAGTGAAAGCACAATGAGCACACACAGTAAGCACACAGTGAGCATACACAGTGAATGCACAGTGAGCCACAGTGAGCACACACAATGAGCACACACAGTCAGCACATACGATCAGCACACACAGAGAGCACACAGTGAGTACAAACAGTGAGCACACACAGTCAGCACACACAGTCAGCACACATCGAGAGCACAGTGAGCACACACAGTGAACACACAGTGAACCACAGTGAGCACACACAATGAGCACACAGTGAGCACACACAGTGAACACACACAATGAGCACACACAGAGAGCACACATGTTGAGCACACACACTGAGCACACAGTGAGCACAAACATGGAGCACACAGTGAGCACACACAGTAAGCATCACAGTAAACACACATAGTGAGCACACAGAATGAACACACAGTGAACCACAGTGAGCACAAACATGGAGCGCACAGTGAGCACACACAGTAAGCATCACAGTAAACACACATAGTGAGCACACAGAGTGAACACACAGTGAACCACAGTGAGCACAAACATGGAGCACACAGTGAGCACACACAGTAAGCATCACAGTAAACACACATAGTGAGCACACAGAGTGAACACACAGTGAACCACAGTGAGCACACACAATGAGCACACAGTGAGCACACATAGAGAGCATACACAGTGAACACATATAGTGAGCATACACAGTGAACACACAGTGAACCACAGTGAGCACACACAGTGAACACACACAATGAGCACACACAGAGAGCACACATGTTGAGCGCACACACTGAGCACACAGTGAGCACAAACATGGAGCACACACAGTAAGCACACACAGTAAGCATCACAGTAAACACACATAGTGAGCACACAGAGTGAACACACAGTGAACCACAGTGAGCACACACAATGAGCACACAGTGAGCACACATAGTGAGCATACACAGTGAACACACAGTGAACCACAGTGAGCACACACAGTGAACACACACAATGAGCACACACAGAGAGCACACATGTTGAGCGCACACACTGTGCACACAGTGAGCACAAACATGGAGCACACACAGTGAGCACACACAGTAAGCATCACAGTAAACACACATAGTGAGCACACACAGAGAGCACAGACGGTGAGCACACATAGTGAGCACACACAGTGAGCCACAGTGAGGACATACAGTGAGCACACACTGTGAGCCACAGTAAGCACACACAATGAGCACACATAGAGAGCACACACAGTGAGCACACACGGTGAGCACAGACAGAAAATGTACGGTGAGGCCCAGTGAGCACATACTGCATGCATACTACTCACGTCAACGTCTCCAACTACTCTTATTGTAATGACTGGCCGTGAAATCACATCTGCACACACCCACCATCCTCTCAGAAGCTTCCAGAATACTATCTTGAACTTTCTGAGGGCGGCTCTGTAGAACGGCCTGGTTTCGGGTGCCTTTACGTGAAGGGTGATGTGGGAACTTGCACGGAGGGCTTCCCTGAAGCAGCAATTTTTTCTCAGAGCCTGGGATGGAGTCCCGGAGCCAAGGAACACTTCCCCGGGTGCTGCAGGGCCAAAGCCCCTGACAGGTCATGCATCAGTGGCCCCTCCAAGTTCTGAGGACCGTGAGGGCTGCATTGGCTCGCATCAGGGCACGATTGGGCAAGCAGCCTGCGGGAGCACCCTGGGGTGAGCTTAGCTCTGCCGCCCTGAGAGGCTCCTGGCAGAGTGGAGGGGAAGGAGCGTGTCTTTGGGGGGCCTCAGGCCAGGGCTGCCAGAAAACCAAAGGTCTGGCTCCACCGGGAACAGTCTGGGGGCTGGGGCGCTCCGGATTGAGTTTCAGAAGCGACACCCCGGGAAGGCTGTGGTTTCCTTAGGAGGAACCGGCTCCGCCAACTGTCTCTGTCCAAGGACCGTTCAGGGTAAAATGCGGGAAGCGCGAGGGATTGTTCCAGAAACCCCAGGAATAATACATGCTGGGGGCCAGGCTCGGGACACTCACCCTGGCTGCCGTGGGGTAGAAAAAAAACCCCTGCGGGGGCTGCCGTCCACAGCGGGAGGAGGACACCTCTCCAGGCGGCTAGAAACTGAGGGGAAAGCCAGAAGCACCCCTGAGCTTCCACTGAGCAAGAAGCACCCGGCCTCTCCTCGGACCCAGAGCCCAGCGATGCTTGGGACCCGTCTGGGAATCCGACAGCTGCAAATCCTGAACTGAGTGATTGCAGGGACATATTCTGTGCATGCAGGAGGCCCGACTTTGAGCCTCCAAGTACCACCAATTGTGACATACCCTGAGCACTGAGCCAAGAGTCAGTCCTGAGCACTGTCGGGTCTGACCCTAAAACAAAAATTAGCCCCTCCCCATCCCATTTAATCCCACCCCACCCCTCCCTGAAGATCTCCTGTATTGCTTACGTTTTCATTCATCCTCTTGTGCCTGGATCCAGAGCCCAAAAAGCTCTAGGAAGGGAGAGGGCGACCCTCGCCAGGGGCCCTGTTTCCTCTGCTCTGCCCGTTGCTGGGTTTCTCTCTCAGGCCTTGGTCACTTGCTCAGCCTCTGGGCCCCGTGCTGGGCTTCCCAGGCCTACCAGGTCAATCTCCCAGGCTGGGCTGTGGGTGAGGAGCATCCCATGGCGTCTCAGGCAGACAACGTGGCCTTTGCATTCTGGAACTGGCCCGAAGGCAGTGGCCCTGGACAGCTCTAGCCAGGGCAGGGCGCCGGCCAGCCCTACCGTGGGGACATTTCTCAGCGGCAGGCTCTGCTTGGCGCCCAGCATCAGCTCTCCTGCGCCCGCCCAGTCACTCACTTCCCAATCTCTGTCTCGCGCTAGTTGCCACGGACGGGCGGAAAGAGCCGATGAGGAAAAGGTGCAGACGGGCTAGTGAGCAGCAGCGGGCCCGGCCATGTCCCCGGGTGGAGCAGAATGTGCTGAAGGAATGTGAGTGTCGGGGGCCCCCCAGGCTGCCTCTGAGGGGGAGCTGGCACCTTGTGCGTGTGTGGCCCCAGGTTTAAGCCCCAGTTACTGCCACACAAACCAAAACTCAGAAACCGAGGGCTCTGACGCCACACGTCCCAAAGAGGAGGAGGTGGGTTAGGGCTGGAATCGAGGATCTTTCGGGGACCGAGGCCCGGATAGGCGGGGCTCAGCCTGTGCCAGCCCTGAGATCTGACCAGCATCTCCCGGAGTGGGAAGCGGCTGCAGCACAACCACCCAGAAATCGGGGCTGGCGCCTGAGTGGGCATTGACATACTTTTCCTGCAATTTAATTTTTGTTTTCTTTCTTATGACCAAGGGAGAGAAGATTCTAGAAGGGTGAATCGGAAGCCTCTGGCAAAGTGTGTGCATGGGGCGAGAGGGCTGATGTCTCCTCAGAACCAGCTTCTCCCAAGAGTGGTTCTCTCGGGATGGGGGCGATAGCACAGCGGGTAGGGCATTTGCCTTGCATGCGGCCGACCTGGGTTCGATTCCCAGCATCCCATATGGTCCCCTGAGCACCGCAAGAAGTAATTCCTGAGTGCATGAGTCAGTTGTAACCCCTGAGCATCGCTGGGTGTGACCCAAAAAGCAAAAAAAAAAAAAAAAAATTCCTGGCTCTGTGCTTAGGGACCACTTCTGACAGGGGGACCCGCTGCGTTGCGGGAGACTTAAACCCTTGAACCTGGGTCAACAGTACGTGAGGAAGCGCCTCAACCCTGCGTTGGCTTTTCACGCCTTTTCCTTCTCTGCCAGAGCAGACAGGCGCGGCTCACTGGTGGGGCTCAGCTGCTGTGCCTCCCGGCGCTGACGTCTGCCCTGATTTCAGATGAGAGGCTGGAGTCCCGGACCAGGGCGGCGCTGAGCAAGGCCTACCAGAAGCTCCTCCAGTTCGTCTGCCTGGGCGAGGCCGCGCCGCCCGGACCCGCACATCTCCTGTGAGTGAGGCAGCGGCGCGTCTCATGGGGGCACTGGGGAATCCCACCACAGACAGAATGCCTCTCCCTAAGGGTCAGGTCACGGTTCCCAGTGGCCCCACGGGGAGGACATGGGCCTTCTCTGGCCAGCGCTTTGCTGAGTGACTCCTGAGTGCAGATAAACTCTTCTCCATAACCAATGGGTGGCAGGAGCCCTAGGCTGGCAGGACGGGTGCTTGCCTGGAGTATGACCCACCTGGGTTCAATCCTTGGCACCACATATGGAACCCTGGGCTCGCATCAACGGGTGAGGCCCCCAAACCAAAATAACTAAATAAGTCAATCAACTCACCCAGAGGGATTTCCAGGCTGGCCCTATGGCAGAAGGTCCAGAGTGCCTGAACTGGGGCCTTGGTCTTATTACTGAGTTACTGCTGGGCTGGGGAACTTGCTAGAAGCATCTCAGCTTGCGTTCATCAGCAGGCGGGGGCATTGTCACCCCCTTTCTGTGGCAACTGAGGGTCTGTTCTGGCTACACACTGCCCAGCCATAGGGTCTGTGCCCTGTGTGACCTGAGCCCAGGGCCGGTGCCCCCATGGGACGAGGTGGGGCCACCCAGCTCTGTAATACCCAGTGTCCCTCTGAATGACATGTCCCCTCTGCACCCATTTTATCTCCAGGGTCAAAGGTGTGTTGTTTTGGGGTCGGGACATGACTCGCTCTGGGCACAGGGAGGTGCTCACCTAGCATCATGCTTGCTCGACCCCTAGTTGTTTCCCCAGCTCAGCCTGGCTCCCTGCTCACTTCTGGCTGTCTCCAGACTCAGCCTGAGCCCCAAACCACCAGGGCTGGCACTGCCAGGCCGCGGGTCATTTCTCCCAGCAAAGATGAGGCTTCATGTCCCAAAGGGACATTGTCTGGGACAGTGTGGAAGCAGCAGCACCCAGGATCTGAAGAGGTTCCTGTGATCCCACCCCCCCCCCCCCCAGATCTCACATGGACTGGGGCACAACCTGGGAGACAGGCTGGGCGGGTGGGGGGCAGCCCCAAGGGTCTCTGAGATGGGCTGGGTGGGTGGGGGCAGCCCCTGGGTTTTCAGGGGCTTTGGTGACCCTGACAATGTGCATTTCAACCCGGACCCAGAAACCGGCTTCTCACCCTGATTGAAAAACCGCCTTTGGACCCGGTCTACATTGGGGTCCTGGGCAGCACAGGGGCCGGGAAGAGTTCCCTCATCAATGCCCTCCTCCAGCAAGAACAGCTCCTCCCGGTGTCTGGGCCAGGCGCCACCGGGGCCTCCTGCATCCTGCAGACCAGCTGCCACCACAGCCAGCACTGGGAGGCCAGGGTCCACCTCCTCTCGGCCCAGGTGATGCTCGGCTCTGCCCTCCAGCCCCGCCTTCTCTCCCTGCCAGCCTTCTTTCTCTCTTCTCTCCTTCCTCTCTCCATGCCTCCCTCCTTTCCTTCCTCACTCTGTTTGTCCCTCCCTCCCTATTCTCCATCCTTCCTTCCCTCCCTCCCTTCTTCCTTCCCTTCCTTCTCTCTTCTCTCCTTCCCTTTCTCCCTCCATCTCTTCCTCTCTCCCTCCTTCCTTCATTTCTACCTTCCTTCCCTCTCTCCTTCCCTCCCTATCTCCCTCTCCCCCTCCTTTCTTCTGTCCCTCCCTTCCTCCTTCCTCCTTCTCTCCCTCCCTCTTTTCCTCCCTTCCTCCCTTTCTCCCTTCCCCGCTCCCTCCCTGTCTTCCCTCCCTCCCTCCCTTCCTCCCTCCCTCCTTCTCCAACTCAAAGTTCAATAAGACCAGATTGGAGGGGGGGTGTCTCAGCTGTCCCTGTCACCACTTATGATGGACTTGGGGGACCCATTTCTATCCAGGGGCCCCACTTGGCTGCCAACAGAACAAGGGGGCCGGTGAGGGGACCCCGCGTTTGAGGAGATGACGGGGTCCCCACTGGGCCAGGGGCTCCCCTTTTGGTCTCAAGGGCGTCTGGGTCATGGCTTGGGCCTGTCCTGTCCTGCAGGAGTGGAAGGAGGAGCTGAGGCACTTGAGCCGGGTCCTGCAGGGGGCAGGGAGGGCGCCGCTGGGCCCTGAGGATGGGGACGAGGACGTGGCTGAGGCCCTGTGGAAGCTGCAGCTGGTGTATGGGCCCGGGGCCGAGCAGAGGAGCTACGAGGAGCTGCTGCGGGAGACGCCCCAGAACCTTCCCACGTCCAGGGTCATCACCCTCAAGGCGGAGGAGGTGATGCCAGAGTCTGTAGTATGTGCATGTATGTGCATGCATGTGTGTGCGTGTGTATGTGTGTGGACTGTGTGTGCACATGTGTGTATCATGTATAGATTTTGCATCCTGCCCCCTGCTGCATGGCTCCTAGGAAATTGCATGTAACTAGTGACTGACACAAAGTTTGTTGCTTTCCCAGGGGTGGGAGGCAAAGGCTGGACCACACAAGCAGAGCTCAGGGCTTAATCCCAGCTCTGTGCTCGGAGGGAACCATATGCAGTGCTGGGGATTAAACATGGGTCAATGACATGCAAAGCAAGCACCTTACCCATTTATTGTGTTTAACTAATTCCACGATGAAAAATTTCCCCATCCCTACATCCCCAGTAGCTAAGAAATAGACCTCAACAGTCTGAAGACTTCCCACCTGGCTTCCCGAACCCCGAATACCACCATGCCCCCAAATCCTCCCTCTCCCGAGGCGTTGCTCCGGGACTCACTGTCCTATAGCCATCCCTATCTCCAGGTATGCATGGAAGGGTGAAGAACAGGCTGGAAGGTTCTTCATCCCTCCTGCCATCATAAAATGCTCTCGAGGGCTGGAGCCATCACTCAGGTGCTAAGGTCTTGCATGGCGTCGACCCCGGCTCAGATCCCCGACACCACATCTGGTTCCCGGAGCATTGACAGGGTCAGGCCTGAGTTCTGAGCCAGGAATAGCCCCTGAGCCTCATGGGGCGGGGCCCAAATCCCTTTCTCCCACCTCAAGTTTTTATAGATCTTAATATGTCCACAGCTCAAGATGATATTTTTGTGCTGGGGATTTTTTTGGGGGAGGTCACATTTGGCGATGCACAGGAATGCTGGCTCTGCACTCAGGATTTACTCCTGGTGGTGCTCGGGGGGCCATATGGGATGCCGGGGATTGAATCCGGGTTGGCTGTGTGCAAGGCAAACGCCCTCCCCGCTGGACTATCACTCCAGCCCATTGTTGTGCTGGGTAGACAGGAGTTTAAAGCCCTGAAGGGTCCACGCCAGGTCCGTTTTCCCTTCGGTCACAGTGTCACTGCCTGTCCCCAGTCAGGCCTTCCCCGGCCGCGCAGGCAGGGCCTGTCCCTGCAGAGCTGGGCTCTGTCTACACTGTGGAGAGACGGGTTCTGACCCAGGGAGGCCCCGCTCGCTCTGGAGTGGGAAAGGTCTTTCTAGGGGCATGTCTTCCCTCATCTCTCCCCTGCACCCAGGCGCACCCTTTTCCCAGGGCCCCCTCAGTGACCCCACCAGTGGCGAGTGTGTGTGTGTTTGGGGATGGGGGGTTTGACTCCCGCCTTCTGCAGGCTGCAGAGCTGTCCCGGGAGCTGGAACCCTACATCCGGACCCGGGGCGGAGACGGGCAGTGGGAGGAGGCCGAGACCCGGCTCTGGCCCTTGGTCCAGCACGTGGAGGTGGCGCTGCCCAGATCCCACCAGTTGCCGGTAGGGGCGGTGCTGCTGGACATCCCCGACGTGGGCGACCTCGGCGGCAGGAGGGAGGAGATGTGGAGAAAGGTAATGGCTTCTCCGCCTCTGTCTGCCCCGCAGTCGTGTGCTTCTGCTAGGGCTCTTCCAAGGCCCATTCTGCCAGGGTCTGCGGGACAGCTGTGTCCCCTGGGGTCTGCAGGACAGCTGTGTCGCCCCCCTCCCCGCCCCCCGGCATCTGCGAGGCAGCTGAGTTTCTCCTCCCTGGGGTCTGTAGGAGAGCCGAGTTTCTTGCCGGCTTCTGTCTTTGCTTTGCTGCTTTGGGGCCCAGAGCAGCAGCGTGGGGATTGGTGCACTCAAACGCCATGCATCCCCAGCTTGCTGCACTCACCACCTGTGTCCCGCCCTGTGAGCCATCTCCTGGCCTCAGGTCTTTTGTGGCCCCCCCACCCCCACCGTGAGGCTCAGGGCCAGCAGGGCTACAGCCAGCATCGCTGCACTCATGCTGGGCTGAGTTGGCCCGTGCGTGCCAGGCTCTTAGGGCTTTCAGCACTGTCTTCTGGGTTTGTTTTGTTTTGTTTTGTTTTGTTTTGGTTTGGTTTGGTTTGGTTTGGTTTGGGGGCCACCCCAAGAGGTGCTCAGGGCTGACTCCTGGCTCTGTGCTCAGGGATCCCTCCCAGCAGGGCTCCTGGGGACCCTCTGGGATGCCGGGGATTGAACCTGGGCCAGCCGTGTGTAAGGCAAATGCCCTCCCCGCTGTGCTATGGCTCACCCCTATGCGCTGCCTTCTAAGCTACGGTGGGTTACGGGGGTAGGTGGGGGGGGGGCAGAGAAACCGGATAGGGAAGGGCTTGGGGTTGCTCTGGGAAGTGAAAGTGGTTTGTGGGGGGAGGGAGGAAAGAACTGTGGAAAGGGGGTCGGAGGATGGGGAGCACTGTGTGACACGGAGGAGGGGGAGCACAGCGTGACAGCCACACCCCAGGAAAGCCAGAGACTGCTCCTGGACAGGGATGGGGGTCACTACAGGGCCCCGAGGGGTTCCTGCCTGCACCTGGAGGGGGTCTGGCCCTGTCACTCCTACCCCCCTCCCCCACTGTCCCACTCTGCTCAATAGGCACCCAGCCTGGGGTTAATCCCTGCAGCAACAGATGTGTGAACAAGGGACAGAAAAGGAGCCCAAGAGAAATATTTTTTGGGGGGTGGGTGGGGTAAGGGGGAGATGGAGCCACGCCGGGCGGTGCTCCGGGTGTACTCATTACTGCTGGCTCTCTGCCCAAGGGCCACCAGGGATGGAATCAGGACCGGCCACATGCGAGACAAGTGCCTTCCCTTCTCTGAACCATATATATATGTTGGTGGTGATGGTGCCGGGACTAACCCTTAGCCTCAGGCACGGTCTTTATGTTCGTCTCTGCAGGACGATGTTTGACCAGATACGGGCCTTTGTAAACTATGACCCACGAGGGCAAGAGGTTTATGGATTGTGGGGGAAGCGGATGGCCGGGGCTTGGGAGGCTCCAACCCCATTTTACAAAATCAGTTTTTAGATGTCGGGGTTCGAATCTGAGCAAGTCTCTGTGGGTACAGACAAGTGGCCGTGGGCAGCACGCGGCCAGCCGGGGTCAGACAGTCCTCAGCCAGGCAGGCACCACGGGGGCGTCCAGCACCCCACCCCCAGCCTTGAAGGCACTTGCCTCCCCCCCCCCCCCACCACTTAGAGCGGGTGAAAGTGCTGCCAGCTGCTGCCCAGGGGCCTCCGGAGGACAAAATCACCTCAGTTCATGGAATCATTTGATTTGCAAGTCCTGCGGTCTCTCCACATTTCTGTGTCTCTGAGGAAGCCCCCCAAAGCGCCCAATCCATGTGTCAGACCCATCCATTTTTTTTTTCATTTATATGTAAGGGGCCAGGAAGCAAGACCTCGGAAAACAGGTCCCCAGCCACACCTGTGAGAGCCACACCTTCCACAGGCCCTGTCCACCAGCTAGTGACCTGTGCTCCACAGTCATGGCCTTGCCAGTACGCATCTGCTCGTTCCTGGCACCCTATAGTCTCCTGGTGGTGGCCCGCTTGGCGCCAGCTGCAAAGCGAGGGTGCTTGAACCCAGAGCGCTGGGGCAGAGTGGGGCTGCGCGGGGAGGTCTGCACCCGTCTGTCCACCTCCAGCGCCGAGGAGGCCGACCAGGAGCCAAACTCGGGGTCACCCATCCCTCACAGTGTGGCGGGCTTTGAGGGAGTCTGAGACACACTGGCCGGTGAGGGCAGGCGCTGGGGGCCACAGAGGGGCCTTCCTTAGTGACACTTCACAGCGTCTCTAGAACAAGTGCAGGCCAGGCGGGGCTTGGATTAAGTGCTGAGTCCCCTGGCCAGCAGGGTGGTGAGCCTGGCTTAACCCCTTGCTTTTCACCCCTTCCCTCCGTTTTACAGACCATCGACAAGTGCTCAGTGATCTGGGTGCTGAGCGACGTGGAGAGAGTGTTAGGGGGACACGCACCCACAGCCCTCCTGGACGAGAGCATCAGGGCCTGCCAGCGGGGCCTCTGCAGGCACGTGGCCCTGGTGGTGACCAAGACTGACAAACTCCACCTGGCAGAGCATCTCAGGTACGGAGCAGGATTGGGCAGTAGCAGCAGCAGCTGCAGCAGCGACGTGACCACAGGGCCTTGGCACATGATGTAGGGCTTGGGGAGGGGCTCGGAGACTGAGGGAAGTGATGTCTGGAAATGGGAGTCTCATGGTGCTTTCCTCACTCTCAGGTGGACTGTTCCATCTGCTGTGTTTAGTCTCCTCCTCCGCTCTTGGGTGCCATTCCCATGAGGGAGGTGCCCAGAGCATTGCCGGTCCCCCCTAGTGGAAATGCGCCCCCTACCAGTCAGGAGTGTTATTCTGCAATGCTGGCCCACCCAGCACCACTTGGAAGCACCACCAGCTTCTGTTTCAGACCTGCCGACACCTGAGATCGGATACTCCTGGAGGTCAAAGGTCTCAAGGGTCAGACTAGTAGCTAGATGAGGGGGTTCCCAAGAGTCTGATTCTAAGCTGAGATGCCCCCGGGGCCTGAGGTGGAGCCATTACACGCCATTGCATGGTGGTTTCTGGGTGGTCTCTGCCCCTGCTGAGTGTGGGATGGCTTGTCTCTGTGTCCAGTAACCAGCCAGAAAAGCTGGTGTTTGGGGCCGGAGCAATAGTCCAGCAGGGAGGGCATTTGCCTTGCACATGGCCAACCCGGGTTTGATCCCCAGCATCTCATTTGGTCCCCCCGAGCACTGCCAGGAGTAATTCCTGAGTTCAGAGTCGGGAGGAACCCCTGAGCATTGCTGGGTATGAACCAAAAAAGAAAAAAAAAAAGAAAAGAAAGAAAGAAAAGCCGGGGGCCATAATGATAGCACAGGGGGGAGGGCGTTTGCCTTGCATGCGGCTGACTCAGGGTTTCCTACCTGGGATCCCATATGGTTCCCGAACAACTGCCAGGAGTGATTCCTGAGTGCAGAGTCCGGAGTCACCCCTGAGCCTCACCGGATGTGACCCAAAAATCAAAAGAAAAAAGAAAGAAAGGACAGAGTGAGAGAAAGAAAGAAGAAAAGAGAGAAAGAAAGAAAAGAAAAGAAAGAAAGAAAGAAAGAAAGAAAGAAAGAGAGAGAGAAAAGCCAGTGTTTCCCCCCCAGCTCCCTCACCCCACACAGACAGGGGGCCCCAGGGGGGCACTCAGATGAGGAAACAGGGAACTGCCCCCCTCCCTGCCAGCTTTGTCCTTCCTGCTACTGTTGTGGGGGCCACACCCAGCAGTGCTGGGGGGACCCTTGGACCCACAGATGGATCCTGGGGTCTCTCACAGGCAAAACCCAGGCCCCCTCTGCCACCCATTCCCCAGTCTCCTGGTCTTGGCGAGACTCTCCAGCAACATTTCCTGCCCCTCCCAAGATTCTCTCCACCCCCAACTCCCACCCGGGGTTTCCCCGGATGCCAAAGACAATCTGGGGAACTTACTAAGCCTGGGCTGGGTGCTGGGTGAGGTGCGGTCCCCACTTCAGAGTCCCAAGGGTGTGGGAGAGAGAAGTCGGCGTCTGAGTGTGCTGGGAATCCAGAGGTCCTTCTGAGGACGGGGGGGGGGGGGGGGGGGGCTGTGTTCTGACTGAGCCGGGGGCTGGGGTCCTAGGAAAGCCCACAGCACCGAGGGTAGCCCCCCGACCCACCTGCCCTAACTGATTTCTCCCCGTCTCCTTTCAGGGAGAGAGAAGCGGGAAACGTGAGTACCGGCGGGTTCCGTGTCTCTTTCTGGAGCTTCCCGGGGCTGTGATGAGACACAAGACTTGCGTGCGGCCGTCAGCAGACACGCACGCACAGGGCTGTCCTTTGTAATGACGCGGGAAGAGCAGGAGTGTCCGGGTGTGTGCACCTGTGGCCCCGCATTTGGGGCCGAGCTAACCCGAGGTGCACGGAGCTCCCCCAACTCCTGGGCTTCTTATTCCCCTGCACAATCCAGGGAACCATCCAGAGTCAGCGGGAGGCTGTTCTGGAGAGAAACAAGACCATAAAGCGCCAGTGGAACAGGGTTCTCAGGGAGAAGCTCCAGGTGAGGCGACTGCCCCCCCCCCCCCAGCCTCCTGCCCCAGGCTCTTGTCAGCTTTAACCCTGCTGGCTTCCAGAAATGAATGTGGATCACAGGGCTGCAGGGGGTGCCCCCAAGGTTCCCTGAGCTGGGAAGGAAGAAAGGAGAAGGGAAGGGGATGGGGAAGGAGAAGGGAAAGGAGAGAGGGAAGGGAAGAAGGAAAGAGGGAAGAGAGAATGAGGGAAGGAGGAAGGGAGGGAGGAAGGAAAGAAGGAAGGAAGGAAGGAAGGAAGGGAGGGAGGGAGGGAGGGAGGGAGGGAGGGAGGGAGGGAATGGGGGAGGGAAGGAAGGAAAGACGACAGGAAGGCAGAAAGGCAGGAAAGAAGGGAGGGAGGGAGGGAAGGAAGAAGGTAAGAGAGATGGGAAAGAAGAAGGAAGGAGGGAGGGACAAGGGTGGGAGGGAGGAGGGAGGTGCTGAGAGCGGGCAGGGGTGATCTGAGCACACTTACACACTTGCCTCACTGTTGGGACCCTGCTTGCCCCCCCCCCCCCCCCCGCGACATGCCCCAGAACTCATTTCTCTCTGCGCTTCCTTCCAACTGATACGACTCGCGAGCTCCTCCTCCCTCAGAGGCTTCTGCCCCATTTCCTGCCATCCATTTGTCTGTGGGTCCCAGACAGCCCTGGGGGCCAGGTCAGCGGGCGTCTGACCGTGGCCATCTTTCTGCCCCGCCTGTCCTCGCTACAGAGGAGACTGCCCGCTGACTCCCAGCTTCTGGAAGCCCCGGACCTGGTGTACACGGTCAGCGCCCACCAGTACTGGCAGCAGACGCTGCTGGCGGAGGCAGAGACGGGTAAGGGCCCACGCAGGGGCCGTCTAGTGGGGGGATGAGGCTGAGGGACGGATGGACCGTATCTCTCTCAGCCTCTCCCCAGGATCCCGCCCAGGGAGGAGCATTCACCTGGAGGATGAGCCCTCCCGGAGACTCTTAGGCACCCCCGGGCTTGGCGGGGACCTGGCACCCGCAGGCTGCGCAGGGTTAGATGTTTCTCACCTGCAGCCCGGCTAGAGACAGACAACGCCAACAGTTGAGGTTCCGGGAAGGACACTGGGGTCCAGCTGTCCAAGGCGCCAAGGGCAGAGCCGGGGCCCAGGCAGCCTGTGCCTTATTTGATGTCTCGGGCAGCTGCTGACAGCCGCCCTGGCCACCTCACTGCTCCTCCGAGAGGTGTGGACAGGGTGTGGACAGGGCCAGAGCAAGAGCACAGTGGTCAGGGTGCTCGCCGTGCATGTGGCCGACACAGGTTCGATTCCTGGCATCCCATAGTGTCCCCTGAACCCCACCAGGAGTGATTCCTAAACACTCTGCGATTACTAATATAAACTTTATTATTTATATAAATTGTATTATTAATATTGTTTGGGAGTTACGTTACTGGGCCCACTCGAGCAAATCGATGAACAATGGGAGGACAGTGTGACAGCATGATATTAGTAATATAATTTATTATTATTATTATTATTATTGTATAGTTCTTGCTCTCAGAGAACATGACAGACTACCAAGAGTATCTTGCCCGCATATAGGCCTGACTGGCATTCCATAGGGTCCCCTGAGCACCGCCAGAACACCCATAAAAGTGATTAGAGGCTGCCCCAAAAGCCTTCATCCCTTTCGGAGAGCCCGGCAAGCTACCGAGAGTATCCCGCCCGCACGGCAGAGCCTAGCAAGCTACCCGTGGCATATTAGATATGCCAAAAACAGTAACAATGATGGTCCTCATTCCTCTGACCCTGAAAGAGCCCCAATATGCCATTGGGCTACACTAGCACATGACAGGGACGAATGGAGATGCTACTGGCACCCGGTCAAGCAAATCGATAAACAATGGGGTGTTAGTGATAGTGATTATTATTATTATTATTATTATTATTGGGATGGAGCGATAGCACAGCAGGTAGGGCATTTGCCTTGCACACGGCCAACCCAGGCCAAACCCGGTTCGATTCCTCCGTCCCTCTCAGAGAGCCTAGCAAGCTACCGAGAGTATCACGCCCGCACGGCAAAGCCTGGCAAGCTACCAGTGACGTATTCGATATGCCAAACACAGTAACAACAAGTCTCACCATGGAGACGTTACTGGGCCCACTAGAGCAAATCGATGAACAATGGGAGGACAGTGCCAGTGCCAGTGCCATTATTATTATTTTGCTTTTTTGGGTCACACCCGGTGATGCACAGGGGTTACTCCTGGCTCTGCACTCATTAATCACTCCTGGAGGTGCTTGGGGGACCATGTGGGATGCTGGGAATGAACCCGGGTTGGCCACGTGTGAGGCAAACGCTCTACCAGTTGTGAGGGTAGGGCTCCAGCCCCTATTATTAATAAATAGTAATGCTCAGAGGCTCCTCGTGGCTCTGCACTCAGGAATCACTCCTGGCGGTGCTCAGAGGACCCTATGGAATGCAAGGGATGGAACCCTGTGACCACATGCACAGCGAGCGAGCGCACCCCCCCCAGTCCTCTTCAGCCCTGAATAATCCGTTTGGGGGGCCAGCTGGCAGGGGGCCACCTCCCGCCCCGGTGAGGGGTCTCAGTCCTGCTCTCTTCCTGCTGCTGGACCTGCCTCACCACCCATGTGCCCGCAGAGGTCCCCGCCCTGCAGGAGCACATCTGGACGAGGCTCCTGGACAGGACGCGCAGGCGGGTGGACAAGCTCGTGGAGGACGCACGAGGCCTCCTGCAGCTCATGGACACGTTCAGCAGCCCGGAGATCCTGCTGGTAGGGCACCCTTGTTTCACTCCCCGCCTCCCGACACGGGCTGTCCCCGCGCTGCCCTGGACATTCCCTGGGACCGTCAGGTGCTGTCCTGGCTGCTCTGGCTCAAGTCTGAGAGGACACAGGAGCAGAGGAACTGCAGCGCGGGAGGGTGGGGCGGGGAAACGCAGATGGGCGGTGAGGAGACAGAGACCACGGTGGCACCCGGGGGGGGGCACGGGCCAGAGGGCACCAGCTCATGGCAAATGTCCAATCGGCAACTAAGGGACAGGGGCGCAGGTCGGGGGAAGGAAGGAAGGGAGCAGAGATGCGGCCAGGGACACGGGCTTGTGTCAAGGAGTCAGGTGTGTCTCTGACAGGCGGTTCACAGACAGCCCTCTCCCCCTTCCCAGCCCTGCAGGACCGTCCCCTGCTCTGGCCCTTGCCCCACACCACAGGGCCCCCAGCTTCACCAGGATCAGGGCAGGGGGTGCAGCCCGGGGAGCCCCGCCTCCCCAGGAACTCACTCTAACCACTGCCTCATGGCTGAGAGTAGCTGAGAAGCCCCTGGCTCCCCTAAGCCGTGTTTTTGGGAGACCTTCCCTCCAATTTTATTCTGATATGAAAGTGGTGAGGAAGCAAATGTTTGTCTTCTTCACCCTCTTTCTTCCTTTCTTCTCTACTTTCTTTCTCTTTCTCTTTTTCTCTCTTTCTTTTTTAAATGTAGGAGCACTGCCATTTATTTAGCCACTGATTAAGCGGACTGAAGCAGGCATGAACCCCACAATCCTTTTTTTTTTGCTTTTTGGGTCACACCCAGCGATGCTCAGGGGTTACTCCTGGCTCTGCACTCAGGAATCACTCCTGGCGGTGCTCGGGGGACCCTATGGGATGCTGGGAATAGAACCCCGGGTCATGCCCTACCCACTGTGCTATTGCTCCAGACCCATCCCACAATACTTAAAAAAAAACTATTGAATATCTGTGAGATAGACATTACAAAGCTGTTCATGGTCGGGTTTCAGTCATGCAACGTTCCAACACCCATCCCTCCACCATCGTATATTTCCCAGCAGAAGTGTCCCCCATTTCCCTCCCACCATCCCACAACACCCCACCCCTACCCCAGCCTCCCTTTACGGCAGGCACTTCTCTCTCTCTCTCTCTCTCTCTCTCTCTCTCTCTCTCTCTCTCTCTCTCTCTCTCTCTCTCTCTCCCCTTTTCCTTGTGTGCATTATTTCACCCTCTCTCTTATGCTGTCTTTGGGCCGGTTCCGTGAGAGTCAAAAACCTCTCCTGAAATCTGAGCTTTTCCCAATTTGCCTTCTGTCCCGTGATATCCTGGAGAAGGGGCCCACCATCCAATTTCCCGAAACTTCCAGCTTCCCAGCAGGGCAGGGAGCGGGGGCGTCAGCGTCGGCTGTGGGTGGCGCCATGGCCAAGCGCGGGCGGGCGGGCGGGCAGGCGGTCTGTGTGGGGCCAGTTCACCACACAAACCGGGGGGTGAGGGGGCGGGAGGTAGGGCCGCAGGGGAGCCAGTGCCCTGCTCTGCACCCCACAACTGCCGACCCCAGAAAATCCCCCCCCCACCTCCACTGACCCAGGAGGGCTGCTGGTTCATGAAAGCAACATCTGGGGAGAAGGGAACTTTGAGGGGGTGTGTCGGGGGAGCTTGAGGGGGGCTCATGCTCCTCGTGCCCCCCACCCCGGCCTGTCCGTAGCTGGAGCCCTGGCCGCTGAGCGAACTGCGGAGGTGCGCCGAAGAGGAGGTGCGGCAGCTGGACGAGGCCGTGGGCCAATGCTTTGCACTCCTGGAGCAGCCCTTGGCAGCTGGGGTGCGGGCGGCCCGGGCTTCCTACCCACGGATCCTGGCCACGAGCCTGACAGTGAGTGAGCCACGCCCGGAAGGCCCAGACTTCGCGGGAGGGTCCCCCCCATCCGGCCCACCCGGGTCCCCAGACTCTGTCTCAGGACCCCTTGGCTTTGGGGGGGGCAATGGAGAGCAGAGGAGGGCATGGGGGAGGGATGGAGCATGCAGGCGGTGCTGGGACCACGGGGGGACCAGACTCCCAGGGTAGAGTCAGGTCTCGGGGTCTTGTGGGGGGACAGCTCCCCTCCCGTGTGCGTGCGGCCTGGTGCTGGGGGTTTCTCTGCAGCGGAGGCACTAAGCTCTCACCCCACCCGCCTCTGCGGGCATGCAAGCGTAGCGAGTTGCTGCTGTCGGAGTATGCCCTGCAGAGCCCGCTGGCATCACAGTGCCAGCCCAGGGTGCTGCCTGCGCTCCTGAACCTGCTTCTCTCCTGCTGCCACAGAGGAGACAGGGGAACCGGGGCCTTTACCAGACCCTGAGAGCCGCATGCCTGCAAGGGGGAGTCTATGCGTCCCGGCACCTGCCGAGAACGGATCTGAACCAGGCCCTGGCTCAGCCCATGTATGACCAGGTGGACCCGGTGTTTGGACGCCTCTTCGGGTAAATGCGCTTTCCCTCTGTGCGCCCGCTGGGCCTTGGCGGGGTGGCGGGTGGGGGCTGGGGGGACGGCCCTCCATTGTGACTCTTTGTTATCTGTGTGAGGGGCATTGGGCCTCACCAAGCAGTGCTCAGGCCTCACTTGCGGGTCTGTGCTCAGAATCGCCCTTGGGGTGCTCAGGGGCCCCTGGGCAGTGCCTGAGACTGAACCTGGCCAGCGCATGCAAGGCGCTTCTTGCCGCCCTCACTCCTGGGCACCCAAGGGCCAGCCCTTGGGACTGAGGTGTGCCCAGGGCATTGCTCAGCCAGCCGAGGAGGAAAAGCTCAATGCAAGCTTCGGGTCGGAGGACTTGCTGGGAGCCTGGCAGGCTTCACAGGCCTCCTGCAGGGCTGGGGGTGTGTGGGGGAGAGTTTCTTCTGGCCGACTTGCTCTGCTCCCGGGACGGGGAGTTCTGGTTGGAGACGGCTAGGGCTAAGCAAATACTCGCCCTTCTTGCGTTTCTCCCAGTGCAACGAGGAGGAAGCAGCTGGCAGAGGCCTCTGGGCTGGCTTTGGGTTCGGCAGGATCATCACAGCAGGGTGGCCTTCCCTGGCACACGCCCTTTCCCGACTTCCGTCCTTTTCTCCATCAAGAGACACCCCCCTCCCCCTCTCCCTGCAGCCTGGCTGGCCGTCCCCCCCATCCCTGCTCCAACCTTGCTCCCGTCCTCCCCCGCTGCCCCAGGCAGGTTGGACCACCCCACCCAGGCTGCTCCATTCAGACCCCCTGAGCTGAGCTCAGGCTCCCCACAGCCCCTCACTCACTTACAGGGTGAATTCCAGATCTCCCCTCCACCACCCTCATTCTGGCCAGCCGGGAGGGACCTTCTCTCCTCTCTCGGGGGACGTTGGTCAGTTCAAACCCCAGCCTGGTTCCGGGGCATGGCTTTCAGTTCTGAGGTTGAACAGATCAGGGGTCCCAAAGCCTGGTTCTGACACTTCCTCGCTGTGTGACCTTGGACTCGTGCCTCACCCTCTCTGAGCTCGTAGGTCTGGGCTGTGAGGGGCGCTGGCTGCACCTGGCCCCCTGAAGGAAGCTGGTGAGGGTCAACTGACGTGACTCCTGGCCTTTACAAAGGCCACTTTCCTCCCTTCCTGAGGCTGCTGTTGCCTCACCCCCTGCCCTTCACTTTCTCTCTAGGGCTGGCCAGGCTGAGGGCTCGGCTCTGTCACTGTGCCTGGAGGCCTTTAAACGCTCCCTGCAGGAGAAAACGAGGGAAGTGGGCGCCAAGAGCGGCCGGAGGGGCGGCGGTGGCCAGCACAGGCTCCTGATGCAGGAGGTGAATCTGGCGGAGGAGGCGGCCTGGGCTTGGGGGGAGGCTTCAGCTTCCAGCAGGGTGGGGTGCTGCCCACTGTCCTCTGCCGTCCCCTGCCCCCCCCAGAACCCGGGTGTGGACCTGGAGGGCACTGGCAGGTGCATGGCGAGAAGTGGGGGGTGTCACACCCCACCTAGCCTCTGCAGTCTGGGTCACGGGATCTGGAGACGGTCAGGGAGAGGCCCAAAGTGTTCAATGCTGCTTTGCATGTGGGAACCCTGGGTTTGATCCCCAGAACCACATGGTCCCCCCGAGCATGCCTGGGGGTGGGGAGCCCTGGGCACCGGGCCTGGAGCAACCTCTGAGAACTTCCAGGTGTGACCCAAAGTCCTGTCCCCAGATGAGAAAGGAAACAGGCCACAGGGAATCAGGTGGATGCCGGGGCGCTCCCAGGCCTCTCGCTTGGATTCCTGTGCTGCCCTCAGCGGGGCTGGGCTCGGCTCTGGTCTGGCCCTTGCTGCCCTCGGTGGTGATGGCACTGCGCCACTGGCCAGGGGTGGGAAAGACCCTGCTTCCCCTCAGCTCTGAACACTGAGGGCCTGGGGGCGTGTCCCCATTAGGCAGTGTCCTTCTGACCCGAGGCCCCCAAAGGTCCCCCCATCTCCTCCTCCTGTCCCCTGGGGGCTCAGGACTTAAGTGTATGAATTAGAGGGTACCCCCACCCAAGCACAGACCTGGCTTGAGTCACCCGAAAATACTGGACAAGCAGGTGCACACCCCAAGGTGACCAGGGTCAGATCAGCAAGCAAGGATGGGGGCCACTGTAGGCACGAGGTCGTGGCCCCACGTTGGCGTCTCAAGGTGCCGAGCACAGAGCTCTTGTTGGCCGCCCAGCTTCAGGGACATGGGCACAGCCAACCGTGCCCCAGTGCCAGTGGGAGGGGCCCTGGGACGCTGACCTGCCTGTCCCAGGAGGTCCCATGGCGTCTGTCCTGTGGCTTGACAGGTGAGCGCCATCCTGGGGGCCCTGGAGGGCCGCATCCTGCATGGGAAGAGGCGGGTCTACGAGTCTCTCCGGGCCTCCATGCAGCAGGACCTGAAGGCCAGCTACCAAGGTGGGTGTGGTGGGTGAGGGCTTCACGCTCCCCTGGGGTGCTGGTGCCAGCTCTGAGCCCCCTCCCCCCTGCCCCTTGCCCCTCAGCTCCCTGCACAAGAGGATCAGAGGTCAGGTCACTAGTGTGCCTCATCCCTCTGTGGGTTCTGACTGGGCCTCTCGCTGTCCACGTGCCTCCCTGCCTCTCAGCGAGCCCCGACCAAAGGCTGTGGGAGTTCTCGGGGCGTCATTCCCGCTCACCTTCCCACTCACCTCCACACCCCTCGGGCGGGCTCTGCCTTTGCTCGGCCTTCGCTCCTTCCGCCCCTTCCCTGAACGACAGCGACAATCTCAACACTGGTCCTTGTGGCTCATGTGCGAAACTCTCTCCCTCTGCTAGCGCAAGCAACATGGGCACACGTGTATGTACACGCATGCAGCCCCAGAATGTGTGCACCCTGTAACTGTGTATGTGCATGCCAAGTCACATGAAATATGCACGGAAAGTCACACACGCATGCAGCCACATGCACGGCACATGTTACGTCTGTGCAGTCACCAGCCACATACCCATTTGCATGCACATGTGTATGAGTACACATACACAATCAGGTGCATGGCGAGAAATGGGGGGTGCATGGCAATCCGTGCCACACAGACACACATATATATGCTTGTGTGTTAAGCCAAGCACCACATGCATACATGCATGTGCTTGTGTGTGAGCAGCCCTTCTGATGTGCATGCACACGTATGTGTCGCACAACACGTGTTCACACTAGTGTTTGCGTGCATGTATGCACTTTGTGTCATCCGCACACATGTGTGGGCAGAGGTTTGCAATCCCGAGCCCTAAGGGATGACCTTTGGGTTCACGACAGGCATGCGGATGGGGGTCCCTGGGTACAGTCCCAGTGTAGAGGCCGTGGGCACTGCCCTCAGGAGTGGCGGCCACGCTCCGCAGTGCATACCGTGTTCCCCAGAACGTGTCCCGTGGCACAGCCACGCACGGCTCTGAAGACATGGTGGGGGGTGGGAGTGCCTCGTCTGGCCGTGCTGTGACCGTGGTCACTACTGTTGCAGAGGCAGCTCAGATCACGGGCCAGAGGGCCTGCGAGCGGCTGAAGGACACCGTCTGGCGCGGCGTGGAGCGGCAGGTGGCGGGGGGCATGTTTGAGAGGGCACGGGACAGGCTGCGGCTCCAGTGCGTCCAGCTGCAGGTACTGGGTGTCGTCAGGGCCAGGGAGGAGGGGCCGCGGGGGCAGGGGACTTCACCTTTGCACCCCAACAGTGCCGATGCCTTGCTTTGCAAACGGGGATGGGGAGGGGGGAAGGAGGTTGCCGCTGGTCTGAGACCAGAGCTGAGGGGCTTGGTCGGCCTCGGAGGCTTGGGGTTCAGTGGCAAAGGGGTGGGAGGCTCAGAGAAGGGCTGTAGGGTTTCCACCCATCGAAGGACCCTGGGCAGCAAGGACATGTGGGGACCATGAGTGGGGGGGACTGGAGGAGGGGGCTAGGGGAGCCGCTCCCAGCAGTGTCTCTCCATCTCTGCGCCTCCTCGTCAGCCTGCCTGGGGCTGGCCCGACCCCCCAGGCGATGGTGTGGCCAGGGTGTGACTCTAACCGGACCCAGCCCATCTGGCTGGTGCTGGGGGTCCCTCCCCCTCCTGGCTGTGCCCCTTGCCGAGACTGGTGCTCTGTCTTGCAGGAGGAAATCTCGGAGAAGGTGAAGGGCAGCGTGGGTGCCATGCTCACCCTCGCCGCGGCCCAGGGCAGCTGCCACTGCATGGAGCTGCCGGGTAAGTCTCTGAGCTCGGCAGACCCCAGTGCCCATCTATGGGGGGCTCTCGTCTGTATTGAGGGCCACGGAATCAGGGCAATGTCCAGGATAGGGATGGAGACCAGGGGAGGACGGCCAGGACAGAGGGGATGCGGGGGTGGGAATCCGCACTTGTGAGGAGGGGCTGAGTCTGCAGCACTCGGGGAAGCTGTGACAGGTGTGCAGGTGCCCGGGGTCAGGTGCCCTGGGAACGTGACCTGGGAACGTGACCATCACAGTCAGTCCAGAGGGAGGGCTGGAGAGACGGGGGGGAGGCTCTCTCTTTGCAGGTGGCTGGCCAGGTTTCACTCCCAGCACCCTGCCATCCCCAGAGCACCTGGGGGAGAGGGCACCAGCCTTTAGTATCACCCTGGCCTCCGGCCGTCTGGGTGAGACCAGCAGGTGCTCAGCTCAAACCCACTGGCTGCATGCAAGCCTCATTCGTGGGACCCCGGCGGGGACAAACATCTGCGCCTGGCGTGGTTCGAGCTCCAGAGCCGCCCCTACCCCCAGGCACCATGGGGTGCAGCCCCTGAGGCTCCTGGGCATTGCTGGGGTGGCCTTGGAGGCCGCAGCCCCATGACCTCCAACTGCCTCTAATCCTCGGACCTTCAGATTGATCCGCTGGCCTGGCTGGCCAAGAGCTGCCAGGAGGGGCCCCCAGACCCCCAAGCATCACGAGGGAGCCCCGCCCCCCCATTGATACACCCACTGAGACATCCAGAATGATCTCTGGGTCAATACCCAGGGCATTACAGGAGGTCGAATCCACATGAGGGTGGACAAGAGATGCCAATCGGGGAACACCTGGAGGGGCGGGAGCAGAGACGATAAGGGGCTAATTCATTGTGGAGGGTAAACCCTGTACCTCTTCCTACTGAGCCCTCGACCAGCAATGAGTGAGGCTGCAGGACTTCCCAGACTTCATGTTTAGGGACACACCCAGCAGTGCTCAGGGCTTACTCCTGACTCTGTGCTCAGGGATCTCTTCTGGCAGTGCTTGGGGGGGACCATATGGGGTGCTGAGGATGGAACTTGGGCCAGCCACATGCAAAGCAAGCACCCTCCCCAATGTACTGTCACTCTGTGTGTGTGTGTGTGTGTGTGTGTGTGTGTGTGTGTGTGTGGTGCTGGGAATGGAGCCCGGGGCTCCCCCATGCTAGCTGCTGAGCACCCCCGTAACCCCCCAGATCTTGATTCGGGGCTGGGTGGGGTGTCTCTCACCTTTGCCCAGAGAGCAGCCTTGAGGCAAGGCCCTGCTCCTCCATCCTGGCCAGGGATCTGGGGCACTCAGAGCTGGGACGCGGGCATCACTGTGGCAGCCGTGCTGGGGTGTCTCTGGCAGGGACTGTGCCTGCCTTGACTCCTGCTCCCCCACAGACATCAAGAGTGAGTACAAGGAGATGGAGCGGCTGCGGCGAGGCCTGCGGGAGGTGGCCGAGGATGCCACGCTAAGGAGGGGCATGCGGGACTTCCTCCTGAGGGGGAGCCCAGCCAAGCCGGGCCCTCGGGGACCCAAGCTTCCCTCAGGGGCTGAGAGCAAGCTCGAGTAAGACCCCTCAATTACCCGTGCACTGGTGGTGGTGTTTTTAATCCAATAAAGCACATCTCCCAACTAGGTGGGCTTGGGGGTCCAGCTTGACTCAATCTAGCACCTCCGCCATGGAAAACAGCTTTCGCTACTGTGCGACGGTCAGCAGAACTCTCTGGAAGCCCCAAGGAAGGGCTGAAGCTGTAGGGGATAGGGGCAAGAACATCGCGCCTCGACAATACCTCAACATTGGGAAAATGGAAATATGTAAAACTCCAGGGGGTCTTGGGTCTGAGAGCAGGAGGCGATTCCTGATTGGGGTGACAACAGGGCTCTTAGACCAGGATGACTGGTTGAGAATCTACAAGTTACCTTGTTCAACTTCTGGGTCACCCTCTGACCCCCGTGGGGTTGTTCTGTCGCCCAGAGAATACCTTCTCTCTGGCAAGAGGGACCCGGAGCCCGGGGGGAAGGGGGTGGTGTCTCACTGCCGCCTCCCCCCCTCCCCCCACCCCATCCTGGCTCATTCATTGACTACCATCCGACATTTTTCTTTTCTCCTTTTTCTTCTTTTTCCCTCTTTTGGCGCAACAGGCAGCCCAAATATCTTTATTATTATGACTTATTATGTTTAGTGAATATAATATTTCCTGTTCTTATTCCTGGATATTAAAAGCATGCCCGGAATGTTCTCTCTCGCTTCCCACCGAGGCCAGCCAAGCGACCAAGGCCATGGGGAGTCGGTTTTCTTGAACAAAGCAGAGGCATTTGTTCGTGCAAAGGTTTTTCTTAGACTTGGGAACCATGTCAGGGGTCTCTGGGTCCACCCTGCCACGAGTGACCCCTCAGACCCAGGCTCTGGTTGGCACAGCAGAGGGGGACTTCTCGTCTTGGAGGGATACCTGAGTTAGGATAGTTCAGCTGTGACCCAGAGCTTCTGTGGGCCCTACTGCAACCTTTTTAAAAAAAATTAATTAATTTTTAATGGGCTGGAGTGACAGCACAGCGGGTAGGGAGTTTGCACATGGCTGAGCTGGGTTTGATTCCTCCATCCCTCTCGGAAAGCCTGGAAAGCTACTGAAAGTATCCCGTCCACACGGCAGAGCCTGGCAAGCTCCCCGTGGCATATTAGATATGCCAAAAACAGTAACAAGTCTCACAGTGGAGACGTTACTGGTGCCCGCTTGAGCAAATCGATGAACAACGGGAAGACAGTGCTACGGTGCTGTATTTATTTTTAATGAATCACTTTATTACTTTGGACAACCTGGCAGGCTACCGAATGTGACCTGCCCACACGGCAGTCTGGCAAACTCCCCGTGGTGTACCCAATATGCCAAATACCAGTAACAATGATGGGTCTCATTCTCCTAACCCTGAAAGGGCCTTGAGGATGGCACTTTAAAATCTCAGGGCTAGGATGAAGGAGACGTTACTGGTGCCTGCTTGAGGCAGTTGAAGAACAGGATGATGTGAGAGTGAATCACCTTGAGGTACAGTTACAGACTTACAAACTTTCATGCTTATGTTTCAGTCATACAATGTTTGAGTACCCATCCCTCCACCAGTGCCCATTCACCACCACCAGTATTCCCAGTATTTCTCCCACCATCCCTCCACCTCTGTGGCAGGCGCATTTCCTTTAACTCTCTTTGGCTTACAGCAACCTTGACGCCCTTGAACATCTTGGTGATGTGTTTTTCTCTTATTTGCCTTGAGGAAACCCTTCCCCCTATCTTAAGACACAACAGGTCTTCCCTGTTTTGCTATTTAATATCCATCCCACCGTCTCTCTTCCTGGGAGTTGTGGCCCGGTTTCTCACCCTACTTTGAGATGATTTCTTGGGATTTCCCGAGGCGAATATGTCTGATGACCAATTACAAATCGTCCTCGCTACCATAAATTCAACATCCAAACATCCAAATGGGAATGTAAAAAGGACAGCATGTCAGCCCCAAGGGTCCCCGGGACCCTCACTATGTGACCTATTCAGGATACCTTGGGTGGTTGGGTTTGACAATTCAAGGATCTGGGCAAGGTCTTGGGGAGGGGGTGGGTGCCCTCCATTCAGGACAAGTCTGGGCAAACTCAGCTGCCCATTTGATCCATCACCCACCTGCTCCCGCTTCCAGGGAAATGAATGAATGGAACGGGTGACTGAACAGAGTTCCCACTGGATACAGGGTGAGGAATCCCCCCACCGCCCCTGTCTGGGGCTCAGCGCCGGTGGCCAGCAGCTGGACACCAGCGAAGGAAGGGGCACTCCCAACCTCCTCTCTGTCCCAGGGCACTGGGGATTGCCAAGGGCATTTGCATTTTCAGTGTCTCTGCAACCCCTGAGCTGGGGACTGAGAGGGAATAATGACTCCCAGAGAGGGGAAGGAAGAGTGAGTGGGGCCTTGGACGTCTGGGTGTGGGTCCTGTCCACTCTCTGCTTGCAAGGAGACCTCAGCAGCCAGCCGATCAGGAGTTGAGGGCCTGCCCTAGTGGGAGAGCCAGCCTATCAGAAAGGAGCACCCTTTGATGGCCCAGAGAACCCCCACATCATTCTTTCTTAAAGGGAATCCTGAGAACAGCTCAGGAAACTGGACTTGCAGTCACTGCCTTGGCCATGTCCTCCGACAGCCTGTCCTCTGACAGCCCTGCTGGTGGGGTCACTGTCTTCCTGGGCACGAGAGCACAGAGACCAAGGCTGGGGATGCACCCCCAAGGCACACAACTGAGAGCTGTCTGGTTAAAGTCCCGTCTTTAAAGCTCTAAATCCAGAGTTGTGTCCCTCACTCAGCCTGTCTCAACCATCTCTTCCAGAGACCATTTCATTGTCCCTAATTAATAAGTCACAGGGGATTGTTTTTGAGACAAAGTTAAAGTGATAGAGGAGGAAAAAAAAAAGACTAGGGGGCTGCAGAGCTGGCACAGCGGGGAGGGTGCTTGCCTTGCACATGGCTGACGGGGGTTTGAGCCCAGGAATCCCGTATGGTCCCCCACACACACTGCTAAGAGTGATCCCTGAGTGCAGAACCAGGGCTTAGCCCTGAGCATCACTGTGTGTAGTCTGAAAACTAACAAATACACAAACAAAAGGACTAGGCAAGTCTTAATGCTGATGAAGAACAGATTCTGCCCAGGACAGGCTCTGATTTCTGATCTAAAGTTTCTTTTCCTTGGAACTCTCTGCCCCTGACCCCCACCCCTGAGGCTCAGCTTCCACTGCAGAGGACCAGAGGTAGCCACCGGAAGTGGCAGACCTTACAATATATACAAGTTTCTTTTTACCCAAACCAGCAAAGGGGACAAGACTTGAGCTGTATCAAGTCTGTATACAATACAATCAATGAACTGTATACTTTAATAGCTACTTTTTGGAAACAGTAATTCCATGTTTCCGGGCCAGGATTGTGCCAGGGATGGCTTTGCCAGTACGGCCCTACAAAGCTGAACAAGAGCAGACACAGATCCCATGTGATAGGTCAGGGGCAGTCCCTTGGAAACCTGCTGGTGAGCGCACCGGGCAACCACACAGAGAATGATGACACTAGACACCCCCCCAGCACCCCCCACCCCACACCATTAACACGGCGGGACTGCAACTATAAACATCTACAAAACACACAGGAGGCAAAGTTTCTGATGTCTTGTTGATGACTTTTAAAAAATGATGATGCCCTTGGGGCCGGAGTGATAGCCCAGCGAAGAGGGCATTTGCCTTGCACGCCACCGACCTGGGTTCGATTCCCAGCATTCCATATGGTCCCCTGAGCACTGCCAGGAGTGATTCCTGAGTGCATAATCCAGAAGTAACCTCTGTGCAACTCCTGGTGTGACTCAAAAAGCAAAAATAAATAAATAAATAAATAATGATGATGCCCAAAACAACAAGTGCAGGAATTGCTACATCAACCCCAAATATGGGCAAAAGTATTCTCAAGTATGTGTGTCTGAAGGCGTCAGAAGCAAGATTTATAAAGAACTACAATGCGTGAGCAGAAAAGAGCCTGATTTTAAAAATGACACAGGAACTGCCCCCTCCTCAAAACATACAAATGAAATAGGAACTCCACATGATGAGTCACCAGCTATGTCACACAGAGCTATGCCACAGAGACATCTCATCACACCTGCTATGAATGACTAGGTCCAACAAGACCAAAAGAATCTTCTGACTTAACTTCATTTTATATGATGCCTTCCAGTTCCAGCCAAGATGCAGCAAATTGCATGATTTCACCATTCCTCATGGCTACGTAGTATTCCATTGTGCATATATACACCACCTGTTCATTAAATGCTAGATGTTCTGCCCAAAACCTGAAAAGAAGAATAAGGAGAAGTAGGAGGAAGAAGAGGAGAGCGAGGAGGAAGAGGGGGAAGAGGCAAGGAAAGAAAAGGAGAGGAGAAGAGAAAGAAGAATTTATTATTTAAGGGCGCTGGAGTGATGGCACAGCAGGCAGGGCATTTGCCTTGCATGTGGTCGACCCAGGTTTGATCCCTGTCACCTCATATGGTCCCTGGCCCTGATAGGAATGATCCCTGAGCACAGAGCCATGAGTAAGCCAGAGAAGGAGCAAAGAGGTTAAGGCACTTGTCTTGTATGTAGTTGACCGTGGATCCATTCTTGGCACTGCCTAGGGTCCCCTGAGCACCAAGCCAGGAGTAAATCCTGAGCAGTGCTGGGTGTGGCATGAAACCAAGCAGAAACATGAGGGCCAGGGGCCAGAGCTGTAGTCGAGGACTCACTTTGCGTGCTTGATGTCCTGGGCAGAACCCCCAGCTCTGCCTGTATGTTCCGGGAGTCCAAGGGAAGGTGGGGGGGGGGGGGGAGGAGTTTCTCTTCACCAACGGGTGAGGGAGGCTGAGTGTGAGCACTTCACAATACAGGCAAAGGTGGCGTGGCCTGGCTAGATGCCCCAAAGGAGCATCCTGTCCCTGCCAATTCTGCCACAGCCCAAACAAAGCAATTCTGGCTTACCACCAGGAGGCAAAGGCTATTTTTAAATATTTCCATTTCACAAAGCTAGGCCAAACATGAGGGGCCGGAGAGGGAGTACAGTGAGTAGGGCGCTTGCTTTGCACACCGTAGATCTGGGTATGGTTCCCAGCACCCCATAGCTTCCCCTGAGCTCCCCCAGGAGTGATCCCTGAGCCAGGAATAAACCCTGAGTACCGCTGAGTCGGGCCCCCAAACCAAGCGAGCAAAACAAAACCAAACAAACCTGAACAGAGGGAGTTGTGAAGAAAAATGATAGAGAATATGTTTTGTGGGGCTGGAGTGATGGCATAGCGGGTAGGGCATTTGCCTTGCACGCAGCCAACATGACCGACACAGGTTCGATTCCCAGCATCCCATATGGTCCCCTGAGCACCGCCAGGAGCAATTCCTGAGTGCATGAGCCAGGAGTGACCCCTGAGCATCGCCGGGTGTGACCCAAAAAGCAAAAAAAAAAAAAAAAAAAAAAAAAAAGAATATGTTTTGTTAGACTGGACCACAAATGAAGATAGCACAAATTCCCGAGAGGAACTGGATCCACAGACGAAAAGCAGAGCATGGGGTGTGGGGGGGGGGGGGTTCTCGGGACGGGGTGGGGTGGGTGAGTGTTTAATAAGCAGCAATTCCAGTTTTGCAAGAGGAAAAGTCCCAGAGATGCTGGTGGTGATGGTTGCGTAACCTGGGGGTGTGTCTGCCTCTGAACCGCGCTGTCCTGGTTGTTTTGGTGTTTTTTTGTTTTGTTTCATGGCCACACCCTGCTGTGCTTTGGGACCTGCTCATGGTTCTGTGTTCCCGGGACTCTGTGATTCCAGGAGGATACCTGGGCTCCCAACCTCTTAGCTGCTTGACCTCTTCTCCTGGTCCCTGACCTGTATAGTCACAAATAGTCCTGACTGGGACCAGAGAGAGAGAGAGAGAGAGAGAGACCACAGCAGGAGGGCACTTGCCCTGCACACAGCTGACCCCTGACACTCCCATGTGGTTCCCTGAGCCCCGCCAGGAGTGATTCCTGAGCACAGAGCCAGGAGTAAGCCAGGTGCATGCCCCCTCAACCCCCCCCCCAAAAAACCTGCAAACATGAAAACAGTGGTAATGGCCCAAGAATAGCCGAGATAAATGCCAGGAGGTTCACTCCACAGCTTGGAGGCCAGCTGTACATGCTAGGGGAAAGGGCAGCTCAGATAGAGAAGGGAGCACCAAATAAAGGGTGTTGGGAGGATCCTCCCAGGATAGGAGATGCACGCTGAAAGTAGACTACAGACCGAACATGATTGCCACTCAATGCCTCTTTTGCAAACCACAGCACCCAAAAGGAGAGAGAGAACAAGGGGGAATGCCCTGACACAGAGTCAGGGTGGGATGGGGGAACGGGGGGGTGGGGGGGGTGGGAGGGATACTGGGATCCGTGGTGGTGGGAAATGGGCACTGGTGGAGGGATGGGTGTTTGATCATTGTATAATTGAAACCCAAGCACAAAAATTTGTAAGTCTACAACTGTACCTCATGGTGTTTCACTAATAAAAATTTAAAAATAAATAAATAAATCTCAAAATGAAGAAAAAACAGTGGTGATGGGCAATTGTGTGTTATTTCAGTATGGCTAACATTCTTTCTAATTACAAAGAAGCAGAGAAAGATAGCTGTGAACAGTTCTGTTTGGGAAATGAGGTTGCAGATAAGAACGGTGGCCCGGCTCGCCCCGTTCCAGGAGGGAACCCAGACCCCCCTCCCCGACTGGGTCCCGTAGTCGAGCCTTCTCTGCACCTTCCTTCCCTCCCTCCAGCTGCTGCTTTGTTCCCATCGGGGCCACCTCCTGCTGGTTCCTGCTGCTGAGAGCAGCCCAAGTGGACAAACATGCAGATGGATCCCTTCCCAGTGCTCCGGAGAGAGAGTCTGGGCAGAAAAGGAAAAGAAGAATCAGAGTGAAGGCTTTTGGTTCATCCAAGGAAAGCAGCTCCTCAACTCAGCAGGGCCACTGGGCCACGGGTCCAAGGGCAGGTTTGAAGCTGTCAGTTCTGCTCTCGCCGTGGGTTTCTCGGGCAGGAAGCAGTGTGACTCCCATGTTGGGGGGTGCCAGGTGCTCCCTTTCCCTGCCAGCAAGGAACACCAGTGAGGATTGGGATCAAGGGCTCCTGTGGGGCAAGATGGACCCTCACGGGGTCTTTCCACCCCATGGTCCTGTTTGTATTACTTCTCTGCAACCAGCACCCGGGTGGGCCCAGGCTTCCCTCCTGATGTGCACAGCTGTTTTTTTTTTTTTTTTTGGCTGAGGGGTTACTCCTGGCTCTGTGCTCAGAAATTACCCCTGGCAGTGCTCAGCAAACCATATGGAATACCAAGGATTGAATCCAGGTTGGCTTCATGCAAGGCAAGTACTCCACCACTGTACTATAACTCTGGCTGGAGCTGCGGCCTTTTAAAGGATTCCATTCTCTCTTTTTTTTTTTCTTTTTGGGTCACACCCGGTGCTGCACAGGGGTTAATCCTGGCTCTTGCACTCAGAAATTACTCCTGGCGGTGCTCAGGAGACCGTATGGGATGCTGGGAATCGAACCCGGGTTGGCCACGTGCAAGGCAAACACCCTCCCCACTGGACTGTCTTTTCAGCCCCCAACAATTCCATTCTTAGTAGCACCGGGTTTAAGGCACCTGCCCCGCATGCAGCCAACCCTGGCTCTGTTCCCAGCACCACCAGGTACCCTAAGTGCCACTGGGAGTGACCCTGAGCACAGAGCTGGGGGTCTGAGCAGTGAGGGGGCACCCCCCCCCCCAATTACATTCCTAGGAATGCTGGTGACTTGATGGGCAACTGAAAGGGGAGTGCAAATGCCTCTCCCGGGTGGCTGGCCCCAGAGCAGGGGGCCATTATGCCTCTGTAAAGCCAGAATGACAGGAAGCTTCACCTGTGGGTTTGTGATCAGGGTAAATGGGCTAAAGTACGAAAAGCATCTGGTACTACCAGGCCGACTCCACGGACGCCCTAAAATGCTTTTCCTCCGCCCCTGCCTGCTTCTATCTGTGATGAGCATATCGGGACTCTCAGCCCATCACTTCTGTCTCCCTCAGCTCAGATCCGCCTCTGGAGCTATACAGGAGGCAGGTGATTCCCAAGTTCCGCCTTTGCTGACTGCTGCAGGCTGACCACGCTCAGGCACCAGCTGCCGGCCCCAAGGACTGAGTTTGGATTTCCAGCCCTCTGGAACTTAGCGTGTTCATGAACGTGACCTTCAGAGCGAATGCCTGGGGTGTGGGAGGGCTAACCCCGGGCTACCCCCAGCACCACCCCAACCTCAACACATTTGGGGAGCAGGGAGTTCCTTGGGGGAACGCAGTTGGTCAGGCGTGGCTGATAGTTCTCAGGGCTCAAGTCCACCTGCTGCACATGCACACACACATAAATGCACTGCACACACACACACTTGCACTCATGCACACTTGGATGCACACTTGTACACACACACTTGCACGCACACAAACACACACACACGCATGCGCATACCCAGTAGCTAACGCGTTTCATTCCTTCATCCTACACCCTCCTGCATGGTCTGGCACCAGGAGGTCAGGCTTCATGGTGGGACTGCATTGACGGTGCCTATGGGAAGTGGTTCCCGCACTCACTCCTCTGACAGACCCCCCAGTGTGGACCCTCTGTCTTTGGGCCGTGGACGTGACTACTGGGAAAAGACATACAATTCCTTTAAGTGGAGAAACTGAACGATGCCACTCCCATCGATAACCTCACAAAACTGGGTTCCTTGCGCGTTCGTCGGGGTCCCCGCCCTGGGATCTTTCCCTACACCCCAAAGCCTTGGAGCTGGACCTTGCTTCCCAAGGGTCAGGCTGGTTTGGGGGCCGGGGAGGAGCCGGGCATGCCTGTAATGCTGACATTGACCACCAGAGGGGGCTGCGTTCCAGCCCCCAGGGGAGCCTCCTGCAACTGCTCCCAGAACTTTATAAAGCCGGGGCGGTGGGGCGGTACGCAGTCACCACCTCACAGAGCTGCCTGCGCAAAACATCTCTGGGCGCTGCAGGGAGAGGGGACGCCAGGGTCACCGCCTTCTCCTTGCTCGGCCCCCACTAGTCAGTGGCGCTTCCTGACCTGATCCTGCTGCAGGAAGTCCCGGGCGCCCCGGCAGCCTCTGTTTATGCCGCCCTCTGGGTCTGGCTGCCAGCGACTCAGTGCTGTGACACCGGCCAACTCTTGGGCCACCGCGGCGAATGCCAGGAACTGAGGGGCACGGCCCTCAGGTGAGTCTTGGAGTACCTTTGTCCCAGCACCTGCGACTGATGTCAGCCAGAGACTGGGGCATGCCAGGTGGAGTGAGCACTGCTCTTGGCATCCTCAGTCTGTGCTGTGGTGGGAGGGAAGGTTCCAGCAATCAGCCTGGGGGTGGGAGGGTGCTGTGCCTCAGTGGCACTGCTGCCCGGTGCATGCTCCAGCTCCAGAACCTTCCGGGAGCAGAGCGCTGGCGACGGGTCCTCGGACGCGTGTGCTTGCGTGTGCATGCATGTGCCCGTGTGCCCAGTGGTGGGACCAACCGAGGGAGAGCTTATTGATAAGTCATCAGCACATCTAGGCTTCAGGTGGCAGAGAGGCTTTCGGGGGGCCGTAACTTTCCTGGAGAGAGAGAGAGAGAGAGGCTATCTTCTGGGCTCTGTTCCTGGCTTTCGGTGACTTTAGAACAAAGCAAGGCAGCATGGAGTTGGCCGCTGAGGTGTGCGTCCCGCCCTCGGACTCCATCCTCCCCCGGCTGCCCAGAGAGCATGTCAGGGGGTCCGGCTGTAGATCTGGCTCTGGTTTGCACTCAGGACTTTTTTTCTTGCAAAGGGAACCCAAGCTACAGGCTCTCAGACTGACTGGGCGAACGGGAACCCCAGGAGCAGAGCCCATTTCTCCCACCTGGCTGCCCGTGGGGCCAGAGGACACGGGCCGGGGGTGGGGGGCTCTCCCCAGACTCTGCCACCCACCCTGAGCGGCCGTGTTTAGAAAACCCGAGGTTTCTCGTGGGGCACAGTGGTGCGCCCGCAGCTCAGAGATGATGCCCACTGGGCTGGGGAAGGGACCCCGGCCCTCTGCCTGCCCCCTGGCTGAGCCCGCCAGCCATGGCACAGGTCCAGGCTGATGTCCCATCCCACCCAGACTCCAGTCTCCCGGCGCCGGGGGCTTTGGCAGCTAACCCAGCACCAGGGATCTCCAGCACAGAGCAACCTCGGGGCTCAGCCTGGCCCAGGGTGAGGGGGTGCAGGTGAGGGGATCTGTGTGGGGCACCCAGGCTCTCTGATGCCCACCAGTTCCCACCTCTTGGGGCATGGCATGGCTTACTTTGAGATGGGACATTGATAGCTCTGGTGCCCCTCTCTGCACTCCAGGGGGACCTGCGTGTGGGGACAACCCCCCCCCACACACGGGGTCACTCTGTTTGCCACTAGTGGTGATGCTGAGGAGTACAGATGGCCCCAAGCCTCCGTCCCAGGCCCACATTCCAAGGCCCCGGCCCCTGTGCACCCCCACCTCGGTTCTCCCCCAAAGAAAAATCAGCCCCAATAAATCTGAGGTGGACAGAGACTTCTTGGGTTTCACTCTGGAGGAGCAGACACGTGAGCTGTGGGTGGCGCCTCCCCCAGCTCCCCAAACTCACATCTGGCCACCCCCGCCCCCTCCCCCTGGCTCCAGCTCCACCAGCTGAGGGGCGGGTGGGCGGGTCACCCTGTAGCAGGAGCCAGATAACAGCGGGGAGGAGGGAGGGGCGAGGGGCTTGAGGGTGGGGTGTGCCTGACCACCCCCACCTCCCAGCACACCCGGGCAGGCTCTAGCCTCCGACACTGACCCTCCCAAACTCCAGGGGCCATGCCAGAGGGCGGGTCCCTGCTCCGCTGAGCTGGAGAGATGACGAGGGTCCCCTGCAGCTCAGCCTCCGATCCAAGGACCCCACCCAGGGGCCCCAGTGGGGTGGAGGACTTAGGTGGAGACCAGAGAACTGGACACCACGGCAGAGCCGCTGTGTGGGGGTGGTCTTGGCACGGGGAACGCTGGGGGCAGGGAAGAGAGAGGCTGTAGACTCGGGCCCCCCTGCCCCCTCAGGCTACACGAAAGGTCCCCAGGGACGGGGAGCCTGTGCACTGTGCATGCGAGTGTGTGCGTGCGTGTGTGCATATACCTATGTGCACACATGCCAGGTGCTTCTGTACCCAAGAAACGTGGCTTCTTACTCAGAGATGCCAAGGCAGGAGAGTTGTGAAGCAGCGGCCAGTGCTGCCTCGTGCCAGCCACGGGAGATGGGCAGTGGGAGCGGCCGGCCAACTGAGCCCTTGGTCTCTGTCCCAGATGCCACCCTCTGCCTGTCCCCCTGCTGTCAGTTGTGGACCCCGGCCAGGCCCTCCTGCCCTCAGGGCTGTGTCCATCTGTCCTCCCAGGGCTTTCAACTTCCCAAGAAGAATTCGTTGCTGTTTTGCTTTGGTTTGGGGACCACACCCAGGGCACTCGGGGCACTGTGCCACCCTGGGGACCAGCTCTCTGAGCTGCCTGCCCCAAGAAGCCACTTCGTAAGAGTGACCTGGGGGCCGGAGAGATTGTATGTGGGGAATAGCCCTTGCTTTGGAAGTGGCCAAGCCCCCTTCCATCCCCGGGCCGCGTAGGGACCCCAGAGCCCTGCCAGGAGTGACCCCTGAGCACAGAGCCAGGAGTTAGCCCTGAACACCCCCAGGTGTGAACCCCCAATTTTTTGGTTTTTTGGGTCACACCCGGCAATTCACAGGGGTTGCTCCTGGCTCTAAAGTCAGGAATCACTCCTGGCGGTGCTCGAGGGATCAAATGGGATGCTGGGAATCGCAGCTGGGTCAGCTGCATGCAAGGCAAACGCCCTCCCCACTTTACTATTGCTCCAGCCCCTCCCCCCTATATATATATATATTTTTTTTTTTTTTTAAGTTAAAGAAGGGCTGGAGCGATAGCACTGGGTAGGGCGTTTGCCCTGTACACGGCCGACCTGGGTTCGATTCCCAGCATCCCTTATGGTCCCCCAAGCACTGCCAGGAGTAATTCCTGAGTGAAGAGCCAGGAGTAACCCCTGTGCATCACCAGGTGTGACCTAAAAAAGCAAAAAAAAAAAAAAAGAAAGAAAGCTAAAGAAAAGGGACAGAGCCTGTGTCCCACCATGCAGTGTCCTCAGTGCCCACCTGGGGAAGAAGCCCCAAGGCCCAGGTGGGGGGGTCCCAGGGTGCAGGGTGGGGGCGGGGCAGCTGCATGTGGCGAGCACTGAACCCACCCTCCTCCCAGCAGGCGCGGCGGGGAACAGGCCATGTACCTGCACACGGTGAGCGACCGGGACTCTGGCTCCCTGCTCGAGGAGCCCTTCGACGGCAGGAGCCTCTCCAAACTGAACCTGTGTGATGACGGTGAGTGCCGGGCCCCTGCGCCCTTCCCCTCCACCCCTGGGTATGGCCACACATTCTTGTGAGGTCAGCAGGACACAGACCCATTGCCCAGATGAGTAAGTGGAGGCCCAGTGGAGCAGACCCAGGGCTCATGGGGGACTCGGGGTCCAAGCGCCCGCCTCTGCAACCCCCTGGCACCTCCTTGCCCAGCTTCTGCTCCAGATCTGGCATCTGCAGAGACGCCTGCACCCCGCAGTGGGGTCGCCCCACCCACACCCATCCCGGGCCCCAACGGGGTGGTGCTGGAGCATGGTGGGTGTCCACTGTTGTCCCGGGCATCTGTCAGAGTGGCCACACAGCAAGACCCCCCCCCCCCATGTCTTTGGAGATGCCAGGCTGGAAGTCCTGGGGGAGGGGCGTGTCTGTCTGCCGAGATGCCCCCCTGGAGGTTGGCGCCCCCAGCCCACAGAAGCCCATAGAAGCCCACAGAAGCCCATGGAAGCCCACAGAAACCCCCCGCTCTGGCCCTCAGGTGCCTGCAGTCCTGCCCAGCCCCTCTCGGCTGGTTCCTTCCATCTGGCACAGGGCTCAGCCCCGAGTTCCCACGGCCCGCCCCAGTGACGTCACCAGATTGGCCCCACCTCAGGGGCCTCAGCCCCGCCCTGAGCGGCCACTTCAGTCCAGGGGGGTGGAACCAGTGGGGGTGGGGGGCAGAGAGCAGCACCCGTATGCGCTCATGCCGGGGCACCCAGGAAGGTTCCGGGTCCCTGCAGGAAGACTGGGGTTCTGCTCCTGTTCCCACACAGCTCCACACATTTCTCCGGAATGAGGAACCCTCAGAGGGGGACCCCGCCTAGAACAGGCAGCCCCTGAGACTGCCGCTGCTCCAGTCTGTCGGCTTGAGATCCCTTTCTCCCCACCCATGAGCTGACGGTTCCTGGGCATCTTCCGGGAACCATGGAAGGGGGAACCGGGTCCCCCTTCTTTCTGCTGGGGACTCCCTGTCACTTCCTGGGTCCTGTCAGCTCACCCTCACGTCCTCTGATCCGTCTCCTGTGCCCCCTTTCCGGTGCCCCCTCCCCAGTCCCAGTCCAGCCCTGAGGCCCCCACAGCCGCTTGTGGTCAGGGGTTTGCAGACAGGAACTCAGGGAGCTGATAGGAACTAAGGAAAATGCCGTTGACCCCAGGAAAGTCATAGAACGGCAAGGTGGGCCTCACCTCAAAGTCCAGGAGAAGCTAGCCCACGGGGGCCGGAACATCAGCCCAAGTGCCCCTGTCTTGGGCTCCAAGCTGCGTCCCACCAGGGCAGGGGCTTGATGGGCACTGTGCCCCATATGGCCAAGACCCAACTGACTCGGGCACACAAAACCTTAGGGTTCCTGGGGCCCCAGAAAGAGCACAGTGGGTGAGGCACTTGCCTTGCATGTGACTAACCCAGGTTTGATCCCTGGCACCCCAGAGGATCCCCTGAGCCCTGCCAGGAGTGATCCCTGTGTGCAGAGTCAGCCCTGACCACTGCCAGGTATGACTCCAGAACCACAAAAACAAAACAAAAAAACTCAAAAAAACATAGGGTTCCCAACTCACCTCCTGTTCCTGTCTCCACTTGTCCTGGTTGAGCCAGGGGACCAGTGAAGATAGAATGTTGTAGAAAACTCTGGAATGCTCTGGGGCTCTCTAGAACCTTCTAGCTACTTCCTGCCAGTCATCAGATCCAGCTCCACTCTAGACCAACATCATCTCCAGCCTGAATGGGGTCGGGGGGGGGGGCCCTCTGCAAGTCACAGCTTCATTTATTTTGGGGGGTATGTGTGTGTTCAGGGGGCTTGGAGGTCCCTCCTGGCTAGTCCGGCTGACAGTTTGATAGAAGGGCTCTAAGATGCAGTGCTCACTCACTGAAGCAGCCTCTGAACCTGGTGAGGTCCCCCGTAGACTCTGTCTGGCAGATCTGCTTCAAGCACCCTGGCTGGTGGCTTAAAGCCTCAGAGGATAGCTGGCTGGCCACCAAAGGAATGTTCCAGAAGGGAGGGAGGGAGGGAGGAAGGGAGACTCTGGTATCAGAGAGACACCCTGTCACCTCCACATGTTCTGCTGGCCAGAACACAGTGACCCTGGCCCAAGCCAGGAGACAAACCCGGGTGAATGTTCAACTGATGTCAGCATTTTGATCCCAGCATCTCCTGAATCAAACGCATATCTGGCTCTTTTTTTAAGAGCAATTTTAGATTTACAGCGAAATTAAGAGTGAAGTACAGACATTTTCATTTTTTAAAAAAATTGTTTTTGGGGGCACACCTGGCGATCCTCAGGGCTTACCTCTGAGTCTGCACTCAGCATCGCTCCTGGCAGGGTCTGGGGGACGGTAGATGGAGCCAGGGATGGAGCCTGGTCATCCGTGTGCAAGACCAGTGCCCTACCCCCATTTTTCATGTCCTTCCTGTGCCTCTCTCCTTCCCTCCCCGCCCCCCGCCATGAGTAGACTCCTCCTTTCCTTTACCAACATTCACCACCAGATGGGACACTGGCCACATCAGCACCACTGAGTCCATAGCTGGGGAGTCCGTGGGCATGAGTTTGGTCTCTGGGCTTTGGTTTTTGTTTGGGGGCCAGACCCAGTGGTGTTCAGGGTTTACTCTTAGCTCTGTGCTCTGGGCTTGATGAAGGTGTCACTGCATGGAGCCACTGTTGTGATGCCACCAAGACCTCATGTTCTCTTGTCTCCTGCATGTGCAGGAGCCCTGGGCCCACCTGGTCTCCTAACTGCGCCTCTCCCATGACTCTCTGTGGTTCCAGCCTAGTCTGGAACCAAATATGCTTCTGAGTTTTCTCCACGAACCTCCACGGCTCGGAAACTCATTCCTTTTACCTCTCTGGTTTTCATTTTTTAAGGCAAAAGGTGAGCATACTTTTGCCCTGGCTTTGTGGCTGGCCTTGTATTTACTTTTTTTTTTTCATTTGTTTATTTTGGATTTTTGATGACTCAGCTGCTCTCAGCTCAGTGCTCAGAAGTCACTTCTGGCAATTATCAGGGCACTGCGCAGTGCGGGGAATCGAACCTGGTTTCCCTCATGCAAAGCCTGTGGTTCAAGTCTTTTGGTTTTGCTTCCTGGCCCGCTGGCACACTCTCAGGCCTCCATGTAGTTGTAATGACTTGACTCCAGCTGACATACTACAGCCACGTTGGTTCTGGAGAGACTGTCCAGGGGTTAAGGTGCTTGTCTTGAATGTGGCCGCCTCCAGTTCTATCCCAGGCACCAACACACTGAGCCAAGAGACATCTCTGAGCCATGCTGGCTTTGGCCTCCAACCCCAAATAATGAAAATTTAAAAAAAATTAAACAGGGGCTAGAGAAACGGTACCCCAGGTAAAGAACTCACCTTGCATGTGGCTTCAGCAGACACAATCCTGGTTAAACTATCTGGTCACCTGGTCACATCCGGTCGCCTGAGCACCGCCAGGAGTCACTCCTGAGCACGGAGCCAGGAATAGCCCCTGAGCACCACGCACTGACTGTTCAGATGCCCCCTTCCCTCTGAAAAATAGAAATGTCCCAAGAAGCCCATGTGTTTGGGGGCCAGCAGATTCCTAGTGTGTGGGAGGGGTGGAAAACCGTGGCCAACAGTGATTTCGGGCGAGTTTGAGAACAATGTGGTCTGTGCTGGCCTTGGTGGGAAACGGGGCCAACTTCTAAAGCTGCTTACATTGAAGAGTTGATGCGGATGGTAATTGAATTTGTACTTCCTGACCACTCGTCCCCAACTGTCCCAAGGTTTCATGGAAATGTTATGTAACCACCCTCCTTTGCTGGTTTAATGACAGCGTTTTTTTTTTTTTAATAAAATGGAGTAAGTGAGTGGGAGAATGTTCCTGAATGGTCAAGAAATCCCAGGATGCCAGTGACCAGATGCCCCCTGAAGAGACTCCCCGTCCCTCAAACCCGGAGTGACCTCTCAGTCGCCAACATGGCACTGTCTTTCAAAAGCAGTTCTCTATCCTAATTATTCCTGGTGCGGTTATTCCCATAAGTTCGGAATCAGGCAGAGTTTGAGAAAATTCCTCAGCACATGTTCTCCTGCTGGGCTGGGGGCTGGGGTGCATGGGAACCTGGCGGGGAGGTGGGGGAGCCCCCCCCCCAGCTTGCAGGTTGTCCCAGAGCAAACCTGATCAGTATTTTCAGCCCTCTGTCTGCTTCTGGAAAAGGTCACACCGAACAGGCCCCCACAGGGACAGTGGGATGCTGAGAGTCTGGGGTTCCATGTCGGCCAGAACTGAATGAGCCTGCCAGGATGGAATTACGATGTCTCTCTGTAAATCTGAACCCCCGGTGTTAGCAGATCCAGCGAGTAAATGTGCAGATGACACGCCAGAGGGAGGTTCTTGGGGGTAGATTTCCTCTTGTTTGTTTAGTTATGAACCCTGAGAATCCAGAGCACTTTGTTGTGGTCACCCAACCTGAGGAACGTCATTGCTTCAGATGTGGTCCTGCCTGAGCCTGTCCCTACACACCATATTGCTGGGGTGGAGTGGGGAGGGTCCCTGCCTGGCCCCCTCCTACTTCCATTACTTCCTGGCCAGTGGGAGGTGGGGGGGTCTCCTTCTCGGATGTTGGCGGGGCTGGAGGACTTCGGGTGTGTGCGGGGCAGAGCTGCAGGCACGCCTGGCCTGGGGGGCTGAGAAGGAGACCTCCCACAGGGGCTGCATGAACAGAGCCAGGCACTGAGAAGTGTGTCCGGGATGTTAGTCATCTCATACAAGGGCTTAACAGCTCCAGGGTGAGATACGAACATTTTCACACCCTTTTCTCTAAAGAAATCTCTTTTGATCATATTTAGCAAATTATTCATAACAAGCAATATAAAATAAATTATTTAGGGCCTGCTTTGGGGGCAGGCTTGGGTGGGGCTTGGGAAAATTGGAAATCATGGTGGTGGGAAGGAGCAATGGTGGTGGGATTGGTGTTGGAACACTGTAATAAATCATCGTGAACAACTTCATAAAAATTAAAAAATGAAAGAAGGGGGGGCTGGAGCGGGTAGGGCGTTTGCCTTGCACGCGGCTGACCCAGTTTTGATTCCCAGCATCCCATATGGTCCCCCGAGCACCGCCAGGAGTAATTCCTGAGTGCAGAGCCAGGAGGAACCCCTGTGCATCTCCGGGTGTGACCCAAAAGGCAAAATAATAACAAGAACAACAACAACAATAAGAAAAAAAGAAAGAAAGAAAGAAAGAAAGAAAGAAAGAAAGAAAGAAAGAAAGAAAGGGGGTGCTGTGAGCGGTCACCCCGGGAGGAGCAGAGCAGGGTCTCACACCTCCCTCCCTTGCTTTCAGGAGGAGCGAGCCCCAAACGCCGGGCGGGCAGCGGCTGCTGCAGCCCGCTGGGCTCCCTGTCGGGCCTACGGCACGCCGTGCTCGGCCTCTACCTGCTCGTCTTCCTGCTGCTCGTGGGCATCTTCATCCTGGCAGGTAAGAGCGCGCGGTCCCCCGGCCGGGAGGAGGCGGCCCCGCCCCCGTTGCCACGGAAACCGAGAGGACGCGGCCGGAACTACTAGTGGGCGGAGCTCCGGGCTGCCCCGGTGCTGCCCAGCTGTTGCCCTGATGCTGGCTGCAGGGGCGCACGTGGGCTGGGCTGGGATCTCGGGGTTCGGCACCCCTCCGCCCCCGCCCCCGCCCGGGTTGCTAGAAGACGCGGGTCCGCGGGATGTGCCCTGCAGGGCGCCCGGGCCCGCGCATCGCGCTGCGCCCTCCTGGGACCTGGCACTGGGGGTGCTGCAGAGATGTGAGGCTCTTCCCTGCCGGGCAAAGCAGGTTCGTGGCACATTTGCTGCCCTTTTGCAACCACGGGGCCGGGGGTTTGCCAGGGTCTAGCCAGATTCTCCAGCCCAGTTTCTGTTGGCAAGACACTCTGGAGACGGGCTGGGTCAGGGCGGATGGGTGGGGGCGCCTTCTCCTGCCAGGAAGAAGCAGAGCTTGTAGACTTTGTAAACTGGACTCCACAAAGAACAGGGGGTCCCCAGCCTACAGGAGCCAGGCAGCCCTCAAGTGAAGGTTGCTCAATGCCGTATCGCTGTAGCAGTTAGTAGAGGGGCAGGGGGGAGGGCGCCGGCCGAAGGAGCATAATTTGAAGTTAACCTGGGATGCTTCCCCATCCTCGCCTTAAAAGTCCCAATTTCCAGAACCCAGTGGGGATGTGACTGAGGGTTTTCTGCACCACTTTGGGCCAGGTTCTGTGGTGGAATTGGGGATCCAGCTAAATGGGGAGACTTCCGATAAACACCTCCCAGGGCCACTCCAGGGAGTCCCCAGGGCAGATGTGGACTGGAGGACACTCTGGATCAGCATAGGTAGTGGCCGGGAGGTTGCTGCAGCAGGGGTTGGTGGTTTGGGGAGATAAGAGGGAGCTCCTGGCGCTGCCCCCTGCCAGAGCTGGGGTTAAGCCCGGGCAGAGGGCTCTGTGCTGGGCTCCAAGGGGCAGCTGCCAGGACCTCCCTGGTTTTCACTTTGGTCACTGGGACCTGGGTGGAACCCTCAAGTCAGCCCCGCCCTCTGGCTCCATTCTGTGGGGTCCATCCACCAACCATTAGCCTGGGGGGAGGGGAAAGCCAGCAGCTGCAAGGAGAGAGACATGCAGGCTGGGGCATGTTAGTCCACATGAGGAGGGTCCCTGGATGCGACCCCCCGGAGGATGAGTCGGACATGATCCGGGTCTGCTCCCCGAGCAGGGAGAGATTGGGATCTGGCTTTTGTGGTTTTGGCAGCCTCAACCATAACAAATTTCCGGAATGTTTGGAAAGTGTTCCAGCCCCGCCAGGAGGCGGGGGCTCAGTTCTGGTGCTGGGGCCAAAAGGTGACGGATGGGCCTGTGACAGAGGGACCCTCGTGTCTGACAGGGCCAATGAGTGAGTGACACTCCTCCCCGGAATCAGCCTGGCTGCCCCAGGGACAGATGCGTGTGGTGGGTGTCTCAGGGCAGCTTGAGCAAGGGGTGACGGAAGGGATGGATGCTGGGGAGAAAAGTGGAGCCTCGGTGCCCAGCTTGTGCCCAGTCCTTTTTGGCCCGCGCTGAGCAGAAGCACTTTATTCCTGGCCTGGGGGCCAAAGGGACTGGCTAGGGTGTCCTGAGGCTTTCATCAGAGTGAGAGTGGAACCGCGTTCCCGAGCTCAGGAAAACTGTTGCTGAATAAAATGTATTTACTGCTGCGCTCTGGGCCCTGAGTATGGTGTGAAGACCCCGCTGACACGCATATGTGCTCCCCAATGCCCAACTGTCTCCATCTCCCCAGTACCAGGCCACTTGTCCTGTCCCCAGTGCTATCCAGAGTACGATGTCCCGGTCCTGTCCCTCACCGCATGTCCCCTCCAGGGTAAGGCGACCTGGTCCTGTCCTCGTGCCCATCTCTGTACAGTGCATGCGTCCTCGTCTGGCACCTGCAGCTGGAGCCCTGGGCCCCGTGTCCCCTGGCTGGGCCCGCTGGGCTGTGACCCATCACTGGGCCTCTCAAGGCCTATGCCCAGAGGCTCTCAGTCCCCTCAGCTATCCTTGGCCTCCAGCCGCATGTGTGTTGTTGAGACCCCGCTGTCCTGCCGTCTGTCCTGGCGTGGGAGAGGGGCAGAGAGAAAGAGAGACAGAGGACTGGCTGAGGGCTCACCCCAACCTCCTCCTGCCTCCCGCCACCAACCACCCTCTAACTAGTTTGACCTGAGGCCTTTTCCACAGTCAGATTTAAAGTGTCCAAATAAATTAGCTGCTTTACCGGGAGCCCTTCCCCGGGAATGATGCCTGGTTAGTCCACATGGGGCAGATCTGCATGGTGGGAATCCCCTCTGAACCCCGAGTTTCTGGAAGATTCCCTGTGCACAGAAGGATGTGGAGCGTATTGGAGGCTAGTGGATGGTGCAGAGGGAGTGCCCTGGCCTGGCTCCTCCCTAGCTTTACCTTCGGGATTGGGTTGGCCCTCAGGAGACACCAGGTATGTGTGTGTGTGTGGGGGGGTGGGGGCTTAGGGACCACCAGAGCTGCCACTTGCCGTGGACCATCTTGGGGGCATGGTGGAGAGTCTAAGGATCTGAGGGCTTTGTCACCTGCAGGGTGGGAAGACAGTGGCTGTGAGGATCGGGGCCTCCTTTCCCCGACCCCAGGGGATCCTGACAGGCCCCCTCATCCGAGTGTCTGTAGGCAGGTCCGAAGCCCCCCTTAAGCCAAGTGCCCAGCAGCTGGTCCATAAGCGCGAGGACTCGGCGCTGGCCCCAGCCTAGCAGTTTCTGAGAAATGTCCAGGGACTTTGCGCGTGCATGCTCCACGGCCCCGTGCCAGCTGGGACCGCCCTGGGGTGGGGGTGGGGGTGGGCAGAGGGGCCTGCCCGCCCTGTGGTGCTGCGGATCAAACCTCGGTCACTGCCTGTGCTCTGTCTCCAGCCCCTCTCGGCTTCCCAGACAGACACAAGTGACAGTTTCCTCTGTCTTCGCGTCCTTTGGCTGTCCCTGTCCTCTTGCACGCACAGCTGGACGCCAGGCGCTCTCCGGCCCTTCTCTCACTCCTCCTCAAGCTAAAACCCCAGACTCAGCCAATCCCTCCCTTTCAGCTGTGGCTTGGAGACAAATGTGTGTGAGTGTGTGTGTGTACATGTGTGCATACGTGTGCGCAAGGGTATGTTTATGCGTGTGAACACAGGTGCATATGCTGGTGTGCCTGTGTATACCGCTGGGTGCGTGCATGTGTGTGTATGTGTGTGTGTGTGTGTGTGTGCGTGTGCACATCACCTCCATGGGCCTGCTCACCCTCTGGTCCCCAGAACCCCCCCGCCCAGGCCACACTGGGCCTAGTTCAACTTTGTGCCCCCAGTTCCTGCCATATCCCCCCGTATAATCATCACAACAGAAATGTCATACCTCATTATATTTTTCCTGTCCAAAAGGTCTAGAACCTTTTTTTTTAAAGCATCATACAATGTTCACACTCTGCTTTTTTTGCAAAAATAAATAAACACAACGGGCATAGAAACCTGTGGCAATTACACAAGCAAGGCCGGGCATTTAGTGCCTCGCCCATGAGCTCCATGACCACTGGGCCAAACCCTCCACGCCATGGCTGTCCTCCTTACTGTCCCGCCCAGAAGGTCCTAGTAAACTCCAGCCTCGGAGGATAAAGGGACTCAGACAAGAGTATTGTCTGGGGTTGGGGGGGGACAGATGGGAGACAGTACACGGGGGGCGGGGGTGATATGGGCAGCAGGTCCCCAGCACGGCTGGCCTCTGCCCTCCATGCTGACCCTGATGTGCTAGCCCCGGCCCACCCATCCCGCATTGGCCCCCTGCCCTCTCCCCCCCACACACACACTGCCCCCCCACTCCCATGTTGCTGTACCTCCTTCCAGAGCTGCCTGCTCAGGGAGGACTCCAGGGCCCGCTCCTCATGGCCCCCTGACTTGGGTTTGCTCCCATGCACAGGGCTTGTCTATCATCCCCTGCAGTGTCATCGCGCAGGTCCCTGCCAAGTGCGGCCGCCTGTGGGACGCCTCTGGACCGACCTCGGACATCTGTCCCTGTGCTGCTTCCCAGCCTGTCATCAATCCTCCGGCCCAGCCTCCTACACGGCCCTGCGCCACGTGGCTGGGCCCAGGCCCCAGATGACACCCGCCTCCAGCCTCCTGGGCAGTTCCCCTCCAGCCTCGCCTTGGGCCCCTCCCAGCCTCACCCGGGTTTCCCTCAGGAGGGTCTCCCGGCCTTAGTTGGTCCAGAGGGAAAGGAGGAGAACAGCAAGAGCCGGAGAAATAACAGGGATTAAGGCATCAGACTGGCACCCGGCTGACACTGCTTGTATCCCCAGCACCGCACAGGGGCCCCAAAGCCCTGCCAAGAGTGATCCCTGAACGCTGCATTTAGGAACCAAAAGAAAAAAAAATAAGGAAAGAAGGAAAAAAATAAAGGGTGATGTGAAGTTTATCTTCTCCATCAGAGCTTTGCTGCCCTCTGACTTGGCTGGAAGCTCCCAGCCAAAAGTGGGGTCAGGGGTCAGGGCGGGGGTGGCAGTGGGAGGCAGAGGTCTTCCTGCAGATGCAATCATATATTCTCTCGGTCCTTAGGGAAGTTGTTGTAATGATTAGGTAGGACAGGGCAGAGCACAGGGGAGATGTCGCCCATTAATCAAAGGCGGGGGAGGGGTCCAGTGGGCCTGATTTTGTCAGTAAAGTTTTATTGACCCAGTCACACGCATTCATCTATGCAATGGTCATATGTGTTTCCAGCCCATTTTCGTTACTCGCTGGTCCTTTACCGGAAATATGGGTGGAACCCCCTTCTAGAACCCTCTAGCTCACTCAGTAGCCCTTTATTCTCTCTTCTGGGTTGCCCTTCAAGGTCTCCAGAGAAATTTCACACCCATTATAAAGTTCTCAGAAGGATAGCTGAATTCTCGGTAAAAATCCAAGGGATCCAGAAAACTGTTCCTAGCCCACAAATGAGGAAAC